ACCTCCTCACGTACAGCTCTCCTGAGAAAAGACAACAGTCCAGCTAGAACGTGAGACAGAGGATTTGGCTACGAGGCTCCGTATTTACTCATTTTCTGCCTTTCCATCACACCAAAACATCCCACCATCACAGCAGATGCTGTACCAAGAGGAGGAACCAACCCCTGACAAGAGCCTCACCTGTCACACTGTGTCTCCCTGTTCCTGAATGCTGACTTGGGTTCACCCATGGCTGTCACTGCCTTGCTTACAGTGTGACAAGGACCTCCGGCCTGCAGCAAGGCACACAGAACCACCTCCCAAATAAACCAAAATCTGCCAAGCTGCAGCACTGAGAGCACATCTATCCAAGGTCAGCTTTGCCAAAGCAGTAGGATACTTAGCACAGGGGTCCTTAGCAGGTTTTCTACAGCAACATGTCATGATGGTTGTGCAGTGTGTGCCCTGAACTGCGAGCAAACCACAACATAACAGCAAAATTTAAAAAAAACCAAAACAACAATAAAACACATACAGAAAAAGCCTGAAGAGTAGCACTTTGCAGTGACAGACAGCACGTGCCATGGAGCTCCCCAGATGTCTTATATTTAAGCCTGCTAGATCTATTCATTCCACTTTTCCCCAACTCTGCATCCCCTGCAGCATCCCTCACCTGGAACCAGTGGAGGGAGAAGGGGGAGGACAAAGAAAAACTCAGAAACCTGAAGTTTGTTTGGAATTTATTCCCTTGAACATTTCACACAGTTGAACAAAAAATATCTCAATTTCACAGCAACAGGAAAACCACGTGTTACATAATTCAAAGAGACACACACACACCCAAAACAAAAACAGGTTGAAAACAACTGCATAAATCAAAATCTTCAAAGGGACTTCAATGGAGACATGAAGCCTTTCTGAGCACTAATTATCTCACTTGAACTTATCTGTCATCAAGCTTATTTTATGCACACTCCCTCCTTTTCTTTGAGGGAAACAATCTCAAATGGTCATTACTCAGATTACACTTTCCAAAAAAAGACATTTTAATTCTGCAATTAAAAAAAAAAAATCCAACTCCTTCACACCAACTTAGTACTATTTTTCTAAGACACAAAAACATTCAACGAATCTCTGAAAGTGCCCAGAAAAATTCATATCACCCTTCAGAATATACACATACAACAAATATTCCAGTGGCACAAGTCTACAGGTCTGAAAGCTAGAGAGAGAGAGAGGGAGAGAGGTGGAAGTGGGAGCCCAGTTACTCCCAAGAAAGTGTGTTCTTAGCAGGATCCAGCCATGAGCACAAACTCAGCACATTGCTATTTTGTATATATCCTCCTCAGTCCCCAAAATGTTTTTCAGGATTTTTCAGTGAAATTCTATCAGATCAGCTGCATACCCCACTCTGAAAAACAAATAACCTTTCCATCCTGCCTTTTCCTTTCCAAATTTTCTGGGCTTCAAATTGCTGGTCCTTTAGCATTTTCCTTTCCTTTACGCCAAAGCCACCCATATCCTGATAAGAACACTGAAAAGGAACATGATGGACTGGGAACAGTCAAGCATTTATCCTAACAGAGATTCCTGGCTTGCTATTGAGCAACGATTCACTGGGCACTGAACCTTGGTTCTAACTGAGCAACCCACACACTCTCTCCTCAGCTTCCAAAAATAGAGGGTCTGGTTTTAAGTTTATATTTTAAATGTTCCAGAGAGAAATAAATCTTCCATCAGATCTCTTGGCAGTTGTATGATACCCCATAAAAGGGTTCAGTATCACGTGCCATGTCCTGCAAAACACACCACCACGGCTCCTCCAAACAGAACAGACAACATCCAAGGCACACTAGTAGAGGAAATATCTTTCCTCCCAGTTTGGTGGTGCATCCTGAAATATGAATGTATTTTTTTTCCTTTTTCCTTTTTTTTTCCAGGAGGTGGAAGGGTTTGTAATGGATGTGCTTGTAATGTTCAGTGGTTTAAAATGAAGGTCCCACAAACAGAATGTAATGTCACAGAACTAGTTTGCTGCTATCTTCTGTAATTTAATGTTTAAAAACCAGACCAAATTAAAACAAGGACAAACCCCAAATGTGAATAATAATGAAGTGGCCAAGGAGAGGACTGGGTGAAGATGTTTGTTTGCACAGCAAACAGTATTGCTTCGAGCTAAATCATTTTCACAACTAAGACATGTTTAACGTAAGCAGAACTGTAAAGAGGCAATGAACAAAGCTTATTTCTAAACAGGAATATATACAAAATATATTTGTATTTCATTAGATGTAAAAATAGAATTGTGTGCAAATAATATTGGATGCAGTCATAAAGACTCCTTTTGCACTTTTGTAAATGTGGCTCCCATAATTTACCTCAAGTGACACGCCATTTAGAGGAAGCAGTCATTCTTTTCTAGCTCTCCAAGTTGCCAACAGAACTTCTTCATATATATTGCTTGCTCTATACAACAGATTACTTTAAGAGTCTACAGTGAAGGGCTTTGCTCTGAATATTTCTCCCTGAAAACACTTAAGGCACACCCACTTTTCAGACTGCATACCTATATCACATCCATAGTTGTGTGATGTTAAAGTAGAAGGCCTAGTACCTCTACTTTGTACTGCACTTTTCAGATTTGCATTCTATGGCTTATATTTAGCTTCTTAAATCTTTCACAGGTCAAGTAACTACAGCAAAGAACTCATGACTTGCCTTATATTGCTGTACATTTTGAAGTGTTTCTTTTATGAACTTCCTATTGCTGACAGGGACAGAAATGCACTGCTTTGAGAACATGAGTTTGAAATGGGAAACATCTTATGATAAAACATCACTGGCTAAAGTCACCCCAAGGAGCACATCATAAAGCTGATAGGGGTAAAGACTGTTCCAAGTCCATCTGTCAAGAAAGAGCTGAAAGTTCAGAAACATGTTCTTACAGACCTTTAGAACAAACAGAACAGCATTTGCATTAAAAGCACATAAAACCCATATAAAGTACTGTAAATAATATTAAAAAAAATTCCAAGACACAGTAGTTACAGATTATCAAAGGGAGAGACAGTTGAAAAGCAAAAAGTTGTTTGTTGGTTTGGGTTTTTTTTTTCCTCTTGGCAATAGCAGCAGTTTTGGCACAAAGGCAAATGCAGAAGATAGAGAGAAACAGGCAGACAGGGTACAGAGAAAGTTACAGAATCTACATCAAGCATGCCACAGTTCAGCAGGACCAAAAGCACAGTAACAGCCTTCCCCAACTTCCCTTTCCCAGAGAGAATGGCATCCATTGCTCAAAAGCTTGTTGCCACTTCCCAGACTGAAGGGGTAAGAGCCAGTTTGACCATAACCTCCCTGGGAACATCCCTTGGAATCACCACACCAGAAGCCACACAGGCTCTCTGGCAAACCAGACAAAGCCTTCACAAAAAGGGTGATTCTGGTTTGACTGCTAAACAAACCTCAACTTGCTCATCACAGATTGTGCCCTGCAACTATCTCCATTACAGAACAAGGGACAGACAAAACACAACAAATGCCACCCACAGTGAGGGACTGACATCCTTAGCAAAGTTAATACATGCCAATCAGGTTAGTAACACACCACAAGAAAGGGCTTGTTGTGACCAGTTTTGACCAATCTCACCTCATCTGACCAAACCTGCTGAATGCTAATTTGTGGCTGAATATATTTTAAGCATTAAGCCACCTAAAAAGGAGGCCAGATTTGGTGGCAAAGCAAAGGAGGCAGTGAGTGTAGGGAAAGAACTCATGCAATTTATATCTGTCTGGGATTCCATGACAACTAAAAAGCAGGCCTTGCACGAGTTACCATAAAGCTCACTGAAACAATCACTGTTGCTAACTCAGGGCTGAATTTAATTCAGAGGTATAAGAGTTAAAAATGGCTGGTTTTTTGTCTTGCATATTCTATAATTGATGTTACTGTTGTATGCCTTCCTTTTGCCTTCTAAGCTATCATCTCCATCAAATATCAAAGCAGTTCATGTTACATGTTTTTCTTCTTTTACTTAATGCTTTTAGAGGCAAGTCATTCTCCACACAAGATCTACCTCACTACTGAGGATTGGTTCAGACCTCAGGGTTTGAAATTGTTATTGCCAAATTCCATTTGGTGGCACTTGCCTTAAAGGAGGCAAAACATTTTCAGATATATGACCTGTACTGTATGAGTCTACCAGACAGGTGAAGTGGAGCCTTGGAAACAGAGTTCTGACTCCGTCTCCATCTCAGACAGGTTTTTGCTCGAGGTATTTGCCTACTCTACAGTGAAAGCAGAACATCTGTAGCCTCTCAAAACAAACAATTTACTAAATTGCAAGAAATCATATACACAAATAGTTCAAATTCAGGAGTTACACTAAGATATAATCTTATAGGTTCCTTTTGATTATTCAGGAATAATGTCCTGTTCTTCCACTGTATTAGCAAGCTTGGTAATTCAAAAGGGTTTGTTTTGTTTTTTCAAACCATACATAACTGTAAACATATCACAGGTTTCTTGACCTACATACCCAGCAAGAACAGGAGTTAAAGGTAGGTACCTACAGGACATAACTGTTACACCTGCCTTTAATAACAACTGTTACACCTGCCTTTAATAACACAGTGACTTGTTTTTAAAGTATATTGCATTCAGCTTCCTCCTGCTTCTTAACCTCTGTTAGGTCAGTAGTTTCAAGATATACTTAAAACCTACTGCATGAACTAAACAAAATCTCAGCCACTATTGGCATTTCTTTAGCACAGCAGAGGCACTGCTCACTTTTCCTACCACTAAATGTACTTCTGTCATGCACACACAAGAATGCACCACGATAGGCTACCTGAAAGATGACCCAGCTAAGCTGAGTGTGTCCTAATGCACTTTGGGCACTGCAAGAGGCAAAGCTATACAAGGTCCAAAAGCTCTAAACATTATGCTAGCTATACACTGCTTTAAAAAAGCAGAAAGCAAATAGAAGGAGCCCTAGATTTCAAGTTTTGCTGTTTGACAAAACGGTGTCTTTTCCATCTTATTCCCCTGGAAGTACTACAGTGCTGCTACAGGACTGTGCCACTGCTACATAAGGAGAGATGGGAGCATCTGATTTAGGGCTGATTTACATCTCATTTATATAAGTTTATTGCAAACTATGGTCTATTGTTTGCTCTACTTAGTGATCACTTAGGTGCTATGTACTGAATGTTCCTTCGTAAAAGTAACTAAATTTGATCAGTTGGAAGGAGACTTTCTGCCAGCAGTTGCTTTGATAAACTAATTATACATGTAACTAAAATCTCCTCCTTCCAATTCTCATCACCAGTAGCTTCACTCCCTAAACCACCTTATTCTCACATCAGACTCCCTGTGCACCAATAAATATTTTTTTCATTCATTTTAAAGAATATGTTCCAGCTTAAAAAAAAAAATCTCTTCACTTTCAGAGAAAACAATTTGAAGTCTATCCAGTTGTACAAAAAAATGCTGTAGTTAACACACCTTTTAATTTCGCAAATGGCATTCTTCTCTACCTTTTCCCTTTTCTCACTTTTGCCATATGGAAACTCCACACACACAAAAGAGGAAACCTTGAAAGTAACTATAGTTCAAGAATCAACTACACACACTAGGAATAAATTTCTCCCAGATTGCATTCAGTTACAATCTTAGAAACACTTGTAAGAATAATATATAAAGACAATATTAAAGCTCTAAAAAACAAGCTGGATATCCAAGAAAGTCAAAGCAGTAAGATCCCTGAAGTCTGCTCTTCTGGGAAATAAAACAAGTACCGTTTTTAGTCTTTATTTTTGGCAGGAAGTACGGCACATATGCTGGGATGGCTCCATTATCCTTCCGTAAAGGAGGAGTACAGCTTCAGCTTGTACTAATAAAAACTGAGAAACAGGCAGAAAGACAGGCACCAGCACTACTATGAAGGAAAATATAATCTAAGGGAGAAGGTCAGTTTGCAGCATACAAGCTAAACAGAACTTGTTAAGAGACCAGCATGCAGCTTCCTCAGTATAAAAATACTGAAAAGGGTTTCGAGGAGAAAAATTAAGTGCCTTGGATTGCAACGACAAAAGCTGAGAGACTTTCCTGTAATACACGGTGTGTCTTCATCCCATATTTAAAGCACAAATGCTTCCACTACGATAGTGTAGGAAAAGGGATATCTCTTCTTTTCACACAGGTTCCCATTAACACACAGAAAACCTTCAGAAAGGAAGCTAAGTGATCTTCACAGCTTATGCAAGTGGGGTAGAACTTTATGTTTCAAAGGAAAAGCAAACAATTTGTTTCATCTTAAGAAAAACCATAGAAGCAAAACTAGAACTGGTAACACTATTCATATAGTCTCTGCATGGACTGAGTAAGAACTTCAGCTGATAAGAAAACAAATCAAAAATTCTGTTTCGAATGGGATAGTACAGAATTTCATAATAAATACCATGAAAAAAGAAGCAATAAGTACAGGAAGTGCTTTAAAAAATATTTGTAGAACTGTAAGCTTTCATTATATAAAAAAGTAACTAAATGCACTCTGAATTTTTCTACTTAAAAAAACCCCACCAAAACATCATATATACTTTCTCAATGTTAAGAATCAAAATCTATTAACACGACACGTTAAATGAAAATAATGAGTTACCTTTCCTGACAGAGGACCCACTGCTGGCCTCTTTCTTTGAGCATAACCAGAGAGCCGGTAACAGTAGTGAGGCTTACAGTAGAATTTACCTGCAGATAAAACACAAATGATGGTCAGCAATGAGAACACAGGAGTTTAGCACAATATAAATGCCCATCTCACTGCAACTTATTTTCTGCTGCCATTCCTGTTGCTCCCTCCAGTTTCTTCACTGCACAGGGGAGGCAAACACTATCTGAAGTTTTTAACTCCAGCCCTCCTCTCTCCCCCTCATAACTAGCCTCCTTTCCATTGGGTGCCTGACAGCCATTTAGTTTAAAATCCTATCAAACACCAAAGCAAAGCTGTGAGGCTTGTGTGGTATCACATGCTAACAATGCGGCAGTGTGTGAGGAACAAAGAAATCATCACATGAAAAGCTGGCAGAAGCACTTTTGGAAAAAGCAAGAATGAATACAACCAGCAGAGGAAAGTGGGTGAGGACAGTGTTAACTCCCAAAGAACCATCCCTCAAAGTGCACAGTGTCTACTCGTAGAAAGGACAATCAAACAATGTTTCATTTTCAAAAATAAGACCTTTTGTGATACTAGAAGTTTAATAACACCCCAGAAGTCTAGATATGTTTTTCACTGGTATCTGAGCACTGTCAGGAAGACAAAGCAGCACTAGTAACACCATAATACAAATGATAGCAGCAAATGGATGCCATGTAATTATCTTCCACTGTACCTTTGCCAGTGTATCATGCTTGGTATATGCAGCCCATAGCATCCCCTATTGCTATCCCATTCCTAGAGCTTTGCTAATGCATTCCCAACATATATTTTGACCTCCAACTCTTTCTCTAGGCTAGTATTTGCACAGTTCTTTGTTTTATGGTGGAAAAGTGACAAACATTATCTATTGAAAAGTCTTTACTTAAATAAGCATTTCTTAATATTTCCACTTTCCAAAGACCACTCCAAGACTGTCTGAAATGAGCAACAGCAGAAAAGCTCTTAGATAAAAATTCCCAGACTTTGAAGCCTTCAACCAGACACTGACTGCAGAACACTGCAGAATGCTTATCACTCCCAACAGCTACATGAACAGCAACAATGTGTGTATAGCTTTGTTGTTTTTTTTTTTCTCCCAAAGAAAACTCAGACTGAAATATAAGCTGAATTTTCACAATGATGAGATTAGACGAGATACCACATATTTCTGTTTGGTCATATCCTCTTCATACACACACACAACTTAGGCATGGAATATAATTTCAGAATCAATGCTATCAGTGTGCTGAAACTCCCAAGTTCTGTGTTTGCTTCACTGAGAACTATCTGGCCATAACTGCATACACAAGCTTGCTTGCAGAGGGAATCACTAAACCTGGTGGTAAAAACTGTTTCAGCCCATACAGCTGACAAAGGAGCCCAGTCTGTTACTGTTTAACATACAGTCAGGTTTTCAGTTACTTGTGAATGCCCAAAATAACAGCAGTGCTCAAAAAAATGCTTTTTCCCAACTTTGATTACTGGCAAAGATGTTAATTCTATGTGCTGGTTTCAAAATGACCATTGGCCCCTTTAAACTCGCCTGCCAAGTCTGCTGACCTTCTGAACGAGAAATAAAGGGTTTTCTATTCCTTACTGGGAGTCTGGTTTGATGATTCTAAGTTTCCTCAACTTTTCACAACCGAGCAAGTCCACTACTTAAAGTCATTATATAATGCATCATGAATACGTAACTCTGGTTCTCTTTGCCCCTTAAGCCTAGATAGTGTTTCCATGGCCATTACTCCACCCAGTATATGTAAAAAGATTCTTCCTAGTTACATGCAGTAGATACCTATCAATTTGATAACTTCGTGTTTGCCAATGAGCAGGGAAAATTACCGGTACAAACTTTTTTTCCTGTTACCTTTGTTTTCTATACCATCATGTTCCAAGTAGAATCCTTTGCACCTAACCTGTCACATGGTTTTACAACATTTTGCACATACTTTCCTATTGAGATAGGATTAAAGATAGGCAGTTGTGGAAGAAAACAAAGACATACCTGCTGATGTAAATCAACATTTATCTGAAATACTTTCTGGTATTTTTTCTTCAGAAAATGTGACATTTTAATCAATCACTGCTCAAGCAAAGATAGCAATATGTTGCAACTCTTAGAAGGAGATTACATTTCACAAGTGATGGGTGCTTTCAAATTATTACTTTCAATATGCACACTTTGTTGATAAATTGAGTTTCATCTGCTGCCACATTATCTGGATTCTCAGACCTGTAGAGTATATCTGAAGCTTCTCTTAATTCTTCACATGTTAGATGCTATTAACTGAGTCATCAGCAAGTTTTGTAATCATATTCCTTCCTCCTTAGTCTATCAGATATAGAAAATGAGTCATTACTGAATCTTCAGTAACTACTTCAACACCACTCTCTCTGTAACACTGACTCACCTCTGTGCAACCTTGATGCTCCACTTTATGCTATATAAACAGAACTTAGTTTGTAATGATCTATTATCGTAGTCCCTGATTTTAAAGTTCCTATTTTAGTACATCTAAAATAAACACACAGAGCTGGAGAGTTGCGATGTCTTCAAGAAGAACAAGCTGACTACATTTCTCTCAAACTTGGTATTTTCTCTTAAGTGGTATTAAACACTAAGGGGTTTTACTTAAAAACTGTCAAATGAGAGTAAAGAGTCTAGCTTTCAAACTCAGCCTCCAAACCCTTTCAAAGCCTCCAGCTACTATTTGATTCTCTGCATTCTAGCAGCTGTTATCAAAGTTCAATTAATTCCTACGAGCTCAGTTATTTTGCCGTCAGCATGACCTGGCCACAGGAAATCCATAAAGCTTCAACAGTTGGAGAGATGGTGAACAGCAGGAAGAGTTACTCTCTTCCCTAACTCACCCAATAACTTTTTAAGCAAAAAAAAAAAAAAAAAAGAGCTGCAATCACTCAACAGATGATCCAGGACAGGTAAGAGAACTCTGGCAAAAAGGCAACTTCTCTTACCATCTTCGATGTCGTAGGCGTAGGACGACAAGCGCAGGGTGGTCGCACAGTACTCGCACTTGAAGCAGCTGCGGTGGAAGAACTTGCCCTCAGCACTGAGCCTCTCCATCACATAGACCCGCTTGCGGCAGAAGTAACAGACGTCGCTGCCTCCCAGGTTTTGGGGGAACTCCTTTTTGAGCGAGCCCTAGACAGAAACAGGGATGGTTAAATCCACCTGCGTCCGGCCTCACCGAGATCACACCGTCCCATCTTCTCTCCATTTACGTGGATACAGGAGCACCTAGATGCTGCAGTTCTTGGACATAATTCACAGTTTTAACCAGGACACCAAAAACTAACCTTACCATCCAGGAAAAAGGGTCCTAGGATTCCAAGTCTACATATAATCAGGAGTAAAATAAGCTCTGGGTGGATGAGTGGACACCGGTACTACTAATGATGACCTTGAAATAAATCACTTTAGGAGGCATGTATGATGGAAAGCCAAAACCATTAGAAAAACCTTCAAACCAGCAATTCTTAGACCTACATTATCAAAATCATTATCTCCTCCAGAATGCAGCAGAAGTAAGCAAAAGTATTACGGACAGTTTCTCAACTAATTTTGCCCAATCCTTGGACGCTGAGATTAGATTAAAATATTTGGCAAAGAAAATGAGGACAAGAGTGAGGGTGGATGGAAAAAGGGAAACAAAGTCTTTCACAAAGCTACGACAGGTTCCATCAGTGGTGTAACAACTGGACATTCACAATACTTCAGATCTACAGGACATCTAATCACAAACACGCATCACCTTCGGCACATGGTCTTACCAGTTCCTTCTTGTCTAGAAGGGTTTTGGGTTGCTCTTTCCTTTGAAGCTGATTGGCTATCTGCTCAGCCAATGAGCTCACTCCGCCTGTGTACATCTTTATGTACTTCTACCAGATGGGTTGGATAAAACAATAGTGAAGTGGGAAAAGAAAAAAGAAATCAAATTAAAAAAAATAACTGAAATGATGATAGGTTAGGTGGTGAAAAAGTGCAGAGAGGTCAAATCATGCCAAGACAGTGGACAATATGAAGTGACAAGTAGTAATAGCAAAGCCAGTGTCATCAGAAATCACCAGTCCAGTCCAGGATCACCTGTAAGAACGGACAGGGAAACCTGCATTTTGCAATCGTCTAAATGCTCCAGAAATACTACGATGATGAAGGGAGCAGGTCTTGTTTTCACTTATAGGGTATTTTGCACCCAGAAACCTAAGAATAGACACTCCTAAAAGATGAGGCTAAATATAGGTTAAGATTTTAGGTTCCAGGTAAAATTGGCATCAGAAACAAAGATCTTTTAGAAGACATGTCACACTGATTGCAGAAATGTATTTATATGCTCAGCAACTAGGAAGAATTCATTTACAGAGCATTCACAGAGCAGGGAGAAGTCCTTAATTAAGGAACTCACAGTGATTCAAAAAACATTAATTCTTCCAGTGCTAAAAATACACAGAGGTGTACATGGAAAAAGATGGAAGAGCCTCATCCAATGCATTAAAGCCATACCTGCATACATCTGGAACACATACTTGTTCAACTGTGAACAGGGCTTTATGACTTGGCTTTTCTCCATCATGGATACTGACTGACTGCGTAACTTTGGACACCTAAACCAGTATTCCGAGGAATCTAGGCAAGTTGGCTGTTACCTTAGAGGGTACAAAATGAGTGTCTGCAAGCCAAGTTCAATCACTGCAGGAGCGGAGGAAGTGTTTTTCACAGGAAACACAACCGTTGGCAATAACGACACGGTTAAGAAAATGATGTGGTTACATCCATGTTAGCTCAATCACACTGCAAACGCCACGCATTTGACCCGGAGCAGCAAGGAGCACGCCAAGCAACTTTCCTTTTCCAGAACAGGAAACATTTCTAGCTGGAGACTCAGCTAATACAGGATCAGAGAGACGCTCCAGCTTCTAGCAAGTGTAAAATATCAAGCATAATAAAAGGACTATAGTTGTATCTCCAACCCCCCTTTTACTTGTATAGCACAACTTGCTTGAAGCACACTAGTTATTTCCCACAACTAATAGCCAATTTAATATGTGTGGTTATTAGCCTTTCAGCAATGTTTAAGAACGCATACATTCAGATATGAGAACAGCAGGAAGCATCACAAAAACTGAATCTTGCCACAGAATGGGTACTTCTTTGGGGAAAAAGACTTGGAAAATGGAGTGCTCAGCCAGAGATTACTGCTGCTGTCACTACAGTTCTAATTCTTTAAGTTTTTTGTCACTGAGGATTTATTTCTACCCAGAAAGAACTTATACCTGTCTACTGATTCCATTCCAAAATGCAGAGCACTTGCAGTATTTCTATATGCAAGAAATAACAAAGGATTTGTCTTTCAAAATTTTCCAGGTTCCATATTTTTCCTCAGCCAGTGTGTGCACACAAAAATGCAGAGTTGCCTTTCTATGACAAATATTCTTGTCAAGTATTGCATTTAAAATGGTGCTCACTTGTAAAATTTCCCTCAGCACTGATCTTTAACTGGTAATCATAGTAGATTTGACCAAGAGTTTTTGCTTTCCTCTAAAGGACTAGAAACCTTTGAGGCTCTTTAACTTTTCTTAAAAGACAGATCAAGCATTTCCATGGGAAAAATGTTTTTAGCTGAATCAGGTTTCCCCTGATCAAGTTTTGATCTGAAACCTTCATTCAACCTTAAATGCAGATCCTTCAGGATCTTTCAGTTTCTACCACCACATATGAGGTTCTGTGCTTACAAAGTGAATGTTAATATTAACTCACAATACCTTGGACTATCTGGAGTGAGAAATTTAACTGCTGAATTTTTCATTTGGGGTTGTGTGTTTCTGATTTATTTTGCTTTTTTCCTACATATCACACCTGGCCTAATAATGGGTCTTAAATGAAGCATTTTATCTTCCTTCCCATGGTCAAAAGTCTTCAAGATAGACAACGTTCTGCAGCATTTTCAAGAGCAGGAAAAGAACCCACTCCAGCTTAGGTCAAGTCAAGTTCCTGCTGTTCATGTATGACAACTGCAACTAGTTCAAATTCTCCGTGATTTTTCGGAAAGCCAAAGTACTTTTTATTTCACACTGTCCATTAACCATATAGGCACAAACACATTCTGCCATTCGGCCCAAAACCTCAACAAAAGCAGCAAGCAAAACCAGAAAGCTTTACTGCAAAGCCAGAAGGACTACCAGTGCTCAAAAAAACCTGGTTTGAGAGTGAGATGTAGCAAAAGCTTTTCACTTACACCAAATGTTAAACATATTTAGCTTCAAACTGCTTTATGGCTGACAAGAACCGAGCTGTGCCGGGCACAGGCTGCCTGTGGGTTCTCATTTGTGCATGGCTATGCACAGATATTGTGTTCTGCAGGTGAAGCATTGCCAAGCCTGGCCATCTCTCGTGGTGTGTCCTTGGCAAGCAAACACAGCTGGATGCACCTGGCAATGCCCAGGCCAAGGCTACCTGTCGGAGGGAGTCGGATGAAGGTGAGGAAGGGCGATTGGAAGAGCGGAGGCTAAGGGAGAGCTCCCACTGGTCAACAAAGAATCGGCGAGACGGTTCAGTCTCAGGCTAAAAAATAAAATGAAAGTCAAAACAATCACACATGGCTACAGAGGGAAGAGAAGAGAAAATGAAAAAAAAACCAAACAAAACCAAAAAACAAACCACTCATGCCTTTCTGGCCACCATCAAGAACAATTTCTTAAAGAAATATCCAGTGTATCTTCACTTTCTCCCTAGCGAGGCAGAGTAAGTCATTCTTAATTTGCTTTTTATTAGGTTTTAAGTTATTTAGGACCATTTGGAAGCAGTTACCTACTTCCACAGATGTCCAATCTCCTGTAACCCAACCAACTAAGGCACTGGCAGAGATTCCAAATCAATTTCCTCTGCTTCTTCTGATCTCCCATCGTTCTCTATTACTGGCCCAAGGCACCAAGATCATCTTTCAGGTCATGTGAGACCTCCTCTATATTTTAACTATATAAACCAAAAGCCTACTCTCCTGGGGGTGGAAGAGAAAGAAATTAGCTTGTATGCATTTCCTGTAATTAGTAGCAAATTTCCAACCTTAAATTTACTGTAAGCAGATTAGAAAAATCACACAGAAAAAGAATGAATCAATATAAAATAATCTGCTGCTCTTGCTTATCAAATGGCAAAGAATAAATCACAATCTGAGAATCTGCGTCCATCTGAAACTGGTTCTTCACAGAAGAACCCAAAATTTGGTCTTCCAATATACCCTTGTCATTATCTCTATGGATTATTATGCCCCTCTCACAAGAAATATATCATACAAATAGGAAAAAATCAAAAGCTGAAAGTGTCAGACAAACAGCAGTACTGGTAGAAACCACACATTTCTAAAAATTATAGTCTGGAAATAAAAAATACACAGGTTTCAAACAATTTACTGTCTTTGAAAAGAAAGTTATGATTTTAGTAATAAAAAGGAAAAATAAATGTCATGTAACTGCATGACCCATGAAAATATCTACTTCTAGCCACTTAGGATAGGCTAACCTCAAGATTAAATTTACTGGACAAAATGCAAAAGAGCTTGGCTTTCACAGTTTCCCCAATTTAAAGAAATATAATTGTTAATACACAAATTTTCCATACTTAAGATCTTCAACATTTAATCAAATTTCTTCTCAGAAAATGCCTTACTTTTCTAAGTTGTCTTTCTCTTACCAAACTATTTTTCTTGTTTTCTTCCCTTACATCCCACATCATAATCCATCATTGCTTGCAGTGTTCCAACATCTGTTTCCTCTTTTTCCTCTCTGCCCTACCCACTTTATGCTTTCCTCTACTTTGTGCTCTCTGTCTCCCCTTCATTTTCTCTCCTTTTCAATTCTGCACAATGCAGACATTAGACAATTTCAAAAATAATTTCTGCCTTTGCTTTGCAATGCTGTTAATCTTTTACACCCTCAAAAGGAGTTTAAAGTCTCCAGAGAGCAACACAAAAGGCAGGAGCAAGATGTTTTGGTCTAGATCTTCGTTTCTGTATCATCATTTCAACTGCATAAGAAAATGCACATGAGCATTGTGGATCATGCCCAAGATCTTCAGTTGTGTAACTCATTAAGAAACAAGTGCCACTACATTTAAACCAGTCTTCTCATTCAGTCTTTCATATCTTGTTCTACGTCCCCAAATCACAAATCTAGCCAAAGGTTCACTGTTCCTTCCGAGAGAACAGCTTCACTGGCTTTAATCATCAGTAAAGATGGCACCCCAAAAAAACCCCACCAATGAAAAGTGACCTAGAAGCTATAAATTTCCTTTCAGCATGGCTTGGAAAAGTTATGCCTACCAGCAAACATTCTGGGACTACTTATGTTCCAGCTCATGAAGACAGCTTGATTTTAGATGGTTAATTCAAAACAATAAGTTATAGAAAATAAAAAAAAAATCACTTTTGTAGATGGTGTTTTCCAAAAGCACTCTGCAGTTTGCCAAACGCTGCTGAAGGTAACTGAAAACAGAAATAGGGGAAGCAACTGAAGAACCCCAGCTCAAACTGGCACCTTCCCATATCCCAAAGACAGCACACTGGAGAGAAAATTAAGCACAAAACCAAAACAAAACAGAAGAGTATACTGGAATCAAAGAAAACCCACACAAGCTGCCAGCTCTACCATTGGAAATGACTATGCAGGAAGCATGGACACAAAAGTAGTACTTCAGAGCCAGGAATAATGCTTGGAAAATGTGAAATGTTCTTGCTTCCAGAAGAAAGTAAATCTGTGAGCAGTTGACTGGTAAATGACCACTGTGAGATGATTTGATCTGGAGCCCAGCTGGTTTTCAGCATCTACATGCTTAAGTTTAGAGGCTGTTTTTACTTTATTTTTTATATTGCGTTTTGAGGAACAGAAACACTGTCCCTCACCAAGCAAGGAGACAGTTAAGAACTGGTAAGTCAGATGAAAACACTACACAAAATAGACTTGACTGTTGTTTTAACCATATGACTGTAGAGCAGTGGCCACTGTATTTTGGTGAATTTTTCTCTGTGCCCCCAGATTTCACCTGTACCCAGAATCCCGCACTGACACAGGACACCAGATAGGCAGGGCTGTCATCACCTGATGCCTCACTGCACGTCTGGACTCCAGGAGGGCAGCCAGCTGACATGCCCTTTGCTCAACATTCTCAGGCACTTGGTCACCAGAAAATAAACGAGGAGATCTCTGTGAGACGAGGAAGGAGGGAGGAAGTAAACAAACCAGCAAAAGAAAGTCCCAAAAGGAAGAGACACCAAAATGCCAGCCAAAAAGGTATGACATTCACATGCAGAACAGCAAGAGGAGCTTCTCATGTGAAGACTTTTTCCCCCAGTGTCTACTGCCCTAATGAAGTGCTACATTTTGACCATTAAGGGCAAGAAAAAACAGTAGATTTAGTTGTTATTCGCAACTCTCCCACTAGGACCTGCTGCAGCCAAAACCAAACAAGCGTGTAGCCTCTCTCTCTGGCATTACCATCAAAAAATAATTTAAAAATGTGGCTTTATCATGCACAGAGGAGCTTATTTGTCAGTTTATTTCCCCATAGTTCTCCGTTCTCAAGGATCTCCTTTAAATATCTAAACCTGTACTTATTTGTTTCTCAGACTTTGTGCACAGTCACATATTTTTAGGGTAATGTCCTTCAGTTCTCATAGAGAATGGAATGAACTAATTTCCTAAAGATGGTGGTATATGCAAAGTGAATGCTCTACATGCCAAAGAGAGGATGTTTTAATGAGTCTGGCTGGTTGAAGCTAAGAACAGCAAAACCAAATACTCACAGAAGCTGCCAGTTTTACTTCTGCAACTTCACTGTCCTACTTATTCTTACTCCACTACCATGTCAACACACCACAGGCACAATATTTGACACCTCTGCTATTCTGGTCTTTCATATCAACCTTCCTAAACTGTTGTGTGGTGCACTTGGTGACATGGAAAAAAGACCTGGCTTGTGGCCTGCTGTATAAAGCAGGAGTATCACTTGCAGTATCACACAGACTTCAGCTAATTTGTTTGTAGAGTACAAAAGCAAATGGACCAGGAGCTACAAACATGTGCATCAAGAAACCTCAGGTCTGATCTGTCAGGAATGCCAGGGTACTGCTTTGTATTGTTTATTGTCCTCTAATGCACAACAGAAAATTGGGTTCACACCCAGTTTACGAGAAACATCTTTCCCATTCAGATGCATTAATAATACTCTCTACTTTCAAGCTGCTTTCAGTTCCACCTACTCCTTCCTACTAGATCATTTTCAATAAAACTAGGGCCTATTACAAAGCTGTGGGTTTCTGTGTCGCTGCAGACACGCGTATTCATTTTCTGTTGCCTGTCAGAAAACATTCGGCCCACAAGAGGCTTTTGTTAGAACACATTCTGAAAGTTGCAACGGTTTTGTTGCTGGCTACCACTTATGACTTAATTCATTCAAAGCCTTTACTGGAATGTCAATTAATTTGTCAATATGAATTCAAATCAACCGATCCTTTTGAGTGCCCATCTTTTCTTTTCCCATGCTTCTGTATAATACTGAGCCATTCAGACAGACTGTTGAATATTTCATTGTTAAGAAGGCTTCAAAGTCTCTATACTAAATAATGCCTCATCATTTTTCGTTTTACTTTGGCCTGTAGGAGGCAAGATGGAATGCCAGTTGTTTAACCATCCAGAAAGCAAGCAGTGAAAACAATGCAACCACGTTCGCATGAATTAGCACAAAACATAACTCCTCTTGTTCTGCTACAGCCACAGCATACTTCACTAAAGAGGTGTAAGAGGAAAAGGAGAATGAGAAGAGCTCAAGTGCTAGATCTAAGGCAAAATAAAAGCATATAGCACACTGTTGATGAATGCTTGTTATGCATTTATGTGGGTATCACACAGAAAGGATCGCTCCTAAATGACTCTCAGCAGTTCCAGCGTGTTAACAGCAGCATTAGGATAAGTGTGTTTCACTACCCAGTATATTTGCTCTCTGTATTGCACACATCCACCACAGCTTTGTGTCATCATTGCACACATCCACCACAGCTTTGTGTCATCAGTGTCCATGCCATTTGTTCATGCTCTTTACCCTTTCCTGTCTGGGACTCTGCTCCCCAGGATAGCCGGCACCAGGTTCCCTGAATCTCTGCAGGCAACAAATTATGAGCTTAAAAACAATCACAGACCAACCTCCTAATCAAAACACACTTCATCTGATTTTTTTTTTATGAAACAGGTAGAAGAGAGGCCATAACAACAGCAGAACAGTTTATTAAGTATATTCTAAACCTGGCAATAACAAGTTGGCTCCTGTAGAGAAATTTTTTTCAGTAAACAATAATATAGTACCATAATGTAATGAAATTAGTACAATAAAGGATGAAAGACACTCAATATAACTCATACCGTGAAGTTAGTTCAAAGGAAGGAAATGAAGAGTTTAAAAGAAGTGGCAGAATGAATGCATTAGATGTGCAGAGGTAGAGGTTTTAAGAGACAGAGTAACAAGGACACATCTGTCTGACTTGCTATGAGGCTTAAGCCAAGATAATTTCAGGAAAAGAAATCATTCCTAAGGAAAAAAGAACGTCTCCAAAAGAAGACTACTCAACTGAGTCTAACAGATCAGTTCTGTAGCACAGAGGGTAAAAATTCCTGAGAGATAAAAGAAGGAAGACTGATTTTTCTTTTAATTATTTCTTTGAGCAAGAAGGCAGGAAAAAAAATTTTCTGTGGGATACAACATAGAAAATTATCAAAGTACACTTGAACCCAGCAGTAGCTGGCTCTCATGACTGAACCAGGCAACCAAAAAGGCACAGGACAAACAAACACTTGGAGAGGCGAGGGAAGGAAAATACAGAGCTGCCAGACCCTTAGTGACTGAAAGCAAATTTCTCTATATGGAAAATGAATCCCCATGCTATAGATTAGAAAACAAAACTCAGCATTTAACTGCCTTAGTTTCTCTATTTGTAAGCTTGGGGGAAACCCTTCTTCTTTCATAAAACATATCCCTCAAAGTTCTCAAAGGATTTTGACAAGAGGAAGGCAGCAAGCTATGGACATCATCTGATAATGTCATGCTCCAGTCGAAACCTATCCAGGTTTTGCTAATGAAAAGGGCTTTCCCCACCCATTCTACCTCGATGTCCATTCCCGTATCCTTCCTTGCACTGTACACTGTCCACAGTGTGGCAGAAAACCAACCACCTTTTTTGTTAGGACAGGTTCAAATGGGATCAGTAAGCAGACCTGACCTGTTGTGCAGATGCAGACCACAGAGGCAGCAAAGAATGTGTGTTCTGGAGGCTGATAATAATTAGACCAGATAAAGTGCAACATGTAATTACTCTGAGAAATCACAGCAATAAGGCAAGTCAAACTTTATGACACAGAATAAAACTTGTCTACTCTGCTGAAAGGTAACACGCCCTTACAGAGTTTATGGGCATACAAGTGTTCAGCAAAGAAATATTCTCTATCTACAGGGAAATTCATTTGTACAATCTTTATATGAAGTAATGGAACTTCAGCTACCTTTTATGACCTCAATAGTAGTTCAGGATTGATCAGAAAGGAGTGGATTTTATTATGGCAGTAGGAAAATTAAACAAACATTAAAAAAGGAATACAACTCAAAGAAGCACAATGACAATTACAAGAAGACACAAATATAAAGGATTTCAGGTAACATTTAACAAGGACAACAAATATACGTGCACAAATATCTGGATGCATGTTTACATAGTGGCTCAAAACAGCTATCACTGCTCCAGGTTCAAAGTCAGACAGACTGAACACAAACTCTTGTGAGACAACAGCCTGAGTGTGGGGGAAATAGAAGGACCACAGTGGACATGTGCAGGCCACTACAACACCCCAAAAAAGCACTTCATACAAATAATCCTAAAAAAGTTTTATGGATACAAGGGCAAATTTTGAGTTGAAAATTTAAATTAAGAGTGCAGATGGAGTAAAGTTTCATTTTCTTTCCCTCCATTACTCCAAATGCTTCTTTTCTACTTTGCTGTATCTTAACACCAAGAAAGGCTACTGTAATTAAAAATTAGCCTATAGCAAAATCTGAGGTTCCAGTGGAGCCTCTCCATGTTTCCAGTGAGACAATGCTGCCCTATGTTTCTAACCTCAGAGGCTGAGAAAGCCCTATCAGCATCTGAAAAAAAGAAAATTGTGAATCTCTTTGTAAATGGGACATCTGGTAACTGATCTAGTCACTTGTACAAGCAGCAATGAAGAGAAAGGGACAGAGCATGCAGAGGGAATCACCTGCTGTCTGGGATACGGTGGAGAGGAAGATGGAGTGGAAGAGAGCATGATCACTTTTTTGGGGCAGGTCCGAGAACGTTCCTTATGCCTCATCTTTTTTTAAAACAGAAAAAGAAAAAAAAAATTCATAATAATGGTAGAAAGGAGATAACATTACCTCTGGTCTGGTAAGACTGGCCAGAACACACGAACTGAGAGACTGTGACCTTATGCTCACACCTCTCACAAATGACCAAAAGCCACAGTTTATCTGAAGCTTAGGGACCCAAGTTTTTTATGCAGAGCCACATGACCACAGCCAAACACAGACTTGTATCAATCAATTAAACCAACAGCTTCTGACTCAAGGTCTTACAACCAGTGAAAGGCAAAACTTGGAACCCTACACAGCACAGTTGGACTGCTCTCTTTGCTTCATGAAAAATTACTTATTGCTTTGCCTGGCAATGTTTAAAAATATCCATCCCGTTGACCTAAATACTCTGGCTTGCAGTTCATTAGTAATACAATTCAAGTCACAGCATTCTGTCCTCAGCTTCAGATCCCTCTTCTTAAACTTCCAGATATTAAACCATCTTTGAACCATTTTTAAGTTAAGCTGTACTACATTCTAGCAGAAGAGAAATACAGCTGGTTTATAGCCAAAATGCAGTTGTATCTAATAGCCTGAATATTACACAATTGCACATACAAGTCCTCAATTTCATGCCCTTCTAGTGCTGTACCTCCTTACTATGTACAGTCTCTTCTCCACCACCACTTCTTGTTTATTAATGTATCTTCTGCCTGATATTTCCTTTACTTGTGAGTTCTCACCAGAGCATATCTGGAAATGGTTGCACTGTGAAAAACAAAACATTGTGTCCCCACAGCCACTGTTAGATGAGTCTCCAAAGAAACTGCACGTGGTTTAAAGGAATTACAGATGTTCATTACTGCCCTTGCAGCTGAGCTGGCACTAACATCTGTTTGGGTGTTCTCTTCCCTTTCAGCAAAAAAAGTAAATAAATAATCAACTCTTCTATTTCAAACAGATGCTACAAGCAGCTTAAACTAAAACATATGACTTTGCACTGAAGTGGATGAAGACTATTCATATGTTGTTTCAAAAGGCTCATCTATGAAGTCACTGATTTCTGGCTGAAAGGATGGTAACATTCTCAATCACAGAGTTGCTCACGGGTTTTCATCTGACCATGGTCAAGTTTGCATTTCAAATGGCAAAATTTTCACAAACTTGCTTATTTTTCCAAGGCAGACCTCAGAATATAACACTGTATAGGTATATGAGATACGTGTTCAGTCCTCTAGTAGGATGTATTTCTGAGCATGCAAAGACAAGGGTGACTGTAGGAAAGAGAAAAAATACATCAAGAGATTTAAATAAGAAATCTAAGTTTAAAAAGCAGTATTTGCAGAAATCATTGGTGTTGCAAGTTCTCTTCTGTTGACATTTCAGCTCTTGCTGTCTGTGGTCATCTCGGTCATGGCATATCTTTCAGAAACAGTTCCAACAAAGTTACTGAAAAGTTTGTAATACTGCCCTTTATCACACTTTAGGGAATCATCTCAAAAGAATAAGCATCAGATCTCTAAAGGCAGAAAAGATGTGCACCAAAGGACATGGGATCTCCATCTTACAAGTGTCTTTCTACACATCAGTGATCTAAGTTTATGTATTACACACAAAAGTTGCTGCTGACAGGAGATCTATGAAACTATAGCAGAAAACTGCTGAAGGTTGTAAGCTGAGAGTCTGGAAGTCCAGGACAAAATTCAGTTTAAAAGGCTTGTCTCCAGTACCATGTCCAGTCACATCCATCCTCTTCTGGATAGACCATATGGTTTTCAATGCTTTCATGATCCCCAATGAGATGCTACTTCCCAAAAGCAGCCAAAATGGCTCAGAAAGCAACAGAACATGATCTCATACAAGAAGGCATTCATTTGAGGAGATTAACCTCCATGCCATGAAATACAACCCAGCCTTTTTAGGAGATATTACCATCATATAAGAAAATCACATTTTTCTTTACTATCATATAAGAAAATTACACACATTTCCACTGTGCACATACACTTCACAGTATCTTCATGCATCAGTAGCTGCTGCTGAGGTGCTCAAAAGAACGTGAACTGAATTTTGACAACACAGGTCAACATTCTCAAAGTGTAGCTCAATAAATCAAACTTCATAATCCAATTCACAAGGAATGCAGGCCACACTAGATGCTGAGGAGCAGACTGGTGAGGTTTTTTAAGCCACTTGCTCTTTAGCCTTCCCCAGAGAGACACCATTTAAGTCTTGTGATGAAAGCAAAAAGCACTTCAGAGCAGATTCTGCCAGGATGCCACTCCTTCTAGGAATTCTGTTGTAGCAACCACCCCTACCCCACCTATACAACACACAGAGAGGCATTCTGCCTAACAAGCTCAGTGAATCACCTCATACCAGGGCAAAGCAAGATTCTAGATTTAAACTGATAGGCAACTACAGCTAAGGAAATCCATCTGACAGACACTACCAGGCAGTAGCCCAAGGTAATGCAAATTTCCCGTCAAAACTGTGGGTCCAACCCAGAGCATATCCTCTGGTTTATCCCTTGCAATCACTCTTATGCTTTTGCTGTATAGTTTCCTCTTCCATGCAGTTTCCAAAACACAGGAAGGACCAAACCTGTCAATCACATAACTGCCCTTCTGCCAAAGAGCCCCGAGGATCTCAACTTCATATCCTAAGAAACCTGTGGTTTCCCTCAATAACACATCACCCTTTGTCCCCTTAGGAACTCTTTTGCTCCTCCTCTTCAAAGCACTCTTCAGTAGAAAGCATTTGCTATATGATATATCTAACAGTCAGTAACAGAAGTTTCTGCTCATGAACCTCAACTCCTGTGCCAAACGAGAGAAACAACTTTCCAACAGCTTCATGAACAGCTCTTTCTAGCAAACATACATCCTCCTAAAGAACTTGTCAGGAGCAATACTAATCCTGTACAGCATGTCCTGTGACATGTACTGGTACCCAGCACCAACTCCCCCCTTGGCAGTCTGTAGCCCAGGAAATAGCTTTAAGGCCAGCTTTAAAGTGCCCAGTGTCACTGCAGAAAGCCATTCCAGTACCATCAAGAGGTGCAGTCCCACCACTGCCACATTCTGTGTGCAAGAAACCACAGTTACAAGTCTCAGCAGCCAGCCAAGGGGCTGCTCCAGCAGCAACTTCCTGCAGGATGGATTGCTGTCCAAGCTTGGCAAAGCTGGCTGCTTGGCCCAGTGGATGGCTTTCCACCTCAGCTCATCTTTGATCAGTCAAGAATAAATGGTTCTATATGTGTCCATGGCTTTTGAATGAAGGTAACCAATGTTCTTCACTTCTCCAGGCGAGCCCCTTTGGAACAGGAACTCTCTCAGTTGAGTTTTTGCATCCTTGAGACTCAGTTTTACGCTTCTCCATTTCAAAAGCACTGCAAATTCAGCATGAAATCTGGACCCAAGAATCAATCATCTTCTATTGACGCAGTAAAGCCCATCAAGGAAAGATCATCTCCTTGTGTAATCTTGAAAAGGAAATCATCCACACAAGGCAATCATTGCCAGCATGGAACAAAATAATTTAAGTCCTCTGAAAGAAAAACTGCTACAAAAAGATTTTTAAAGATATGCCCTACATTACTGCCTATAAAGAGATGCTATCAATGTTGAAGGAGAGCAGAGAATTTTTTCCTTCCTTTTGTTTTGTCTTTTTTTTAAAATTGTGTAGTGCAGGTAAAAACAAAAACAAACACAGGAACAACAAACTGCTCTCTGATGAGGAGAAAATGCTATTAAAAGCAAGAAACAAAAGTTCATCCTTTTTTTCCAACCAATTACAGAAGGATGACAATAAGAACTTCTTCTGTTTCGCTATAAAGGCTTAATTATAAAGCCTTCATAAAGTTTCAATAGCAGGTTCAAGTAGGAATCTCAAGACTGCTCAAATGTGATATTTTCCAAGTGCTAAAACACAAAACTTCATTTGCTTGAACAGAGACAGACAGACAGTGCAATCCAGTCTTCCCTTTTTTTCGGGAGGTAGCATAAGCAGTGCTCATCAATTGACTTCATATTGTATGGCTTTTTGGTATCAGGGTTTTTTTCTTTTTCCTCTTTACTTGGTAAGTATCCTTAAAAAATTAAATATTCCTCAATCATGGATGATGTGCATCCATCTGAAAGTGCTCATTAGCCTGTAAAGAAGATTTTGATGAGACAGAAGGTAGAAGAACAAACACTGAGTCAGGAAACCAAAATGTCTTGATGGTTCTACTAACAATAATTCCCCTGGCTTAGGTCTTCTTCCTTGGAGAGAAACCTTCTAGATCATGGCACTAGTCATGACATGCAGCATTAACTGTGTTGAATACACCCCAAACACAAAGATCACCATGAATCCATATTCATGCAGAACAGTGGATTTCCAAACCCAGTGGTGCCTTCTTCCTCTTGACTCCAAAGTATGCTCTGATTAAACCACAGCCAGGAAGAAGTAGATATTTTTCCAAATTATGGCTGCCTTAAAAATACCTCTCAGCACTCTGAGAAACATGAGGAGGCCACTTGCACAGAGAAACAGTGGAAGCAGAGGAAGCCAGTGAGATAAGTATCCCTATCTGCCTAAAAAGATCATCTGTCACAAGCCTTAACTTTGGAAAGTCTGTGGCTGCAAGAAAAGCACAAGCAATGACAATGGGCCGAAACAAGGGAGAGAAAATAAAATTTGATACCTGCTGATTTTTCTGCTGATGATCCCTATTCTGAAAACCTCTGTGGCAGAAAACCTGAAATCTACTGAATTCACAATAAGATGGGAATCTGCAATGCAATGAGGGTGAGAAGTTGGCAAGGAAAGCTCCATATGGTATAAAAGAAAGGGAAACCACAGTAAAATCTCTTGCCAGTACAGAACACATAAGATTTAGCATATGAATAGCAAAACTGATAACCAATTTTACTAGTTATGCCAAGGAAGAGCTTTAAAATCATAGATGGTATGACACCTTTTACCTTGTGGGTTGCCAAAATTGCTTGCATGTTTTCATTTTTCTTTCTAACAGAAGAATCTAGAAATCCTGTAGCAAAAATTTCTACTGCAGCATCCACTGAAACCTCAGTAAGTTGAAACTATCAGAGAAGATTTGATTAAATCCTTTTGAAACATTAAACCGTGCATCATTACCGAAGGGAGATGTTGACTCTATTCACTGAAAGTTAAATTATTTAAAATAATGGACTTGGACAAGGTGCTGGAAAAGGACTGGTTTAAAAACATGACAGTGATGGTTGGTGTTGGGTGCAGGCAATGCATTGTACTTAGAATCAGTTTCTTTACCTGTTTCCACTGGGGTATGGGAGCAAGACGGCCTTGCTCTCGTCTGCTGGATGGCTGGTTGTGAACACGTTCTTGATAAGGCAGGACAGGTTGCTGCATGCAGGTTGTAGGGAAAATGGGACGAAGGAGGAAAGATAAAATAGTAAAGGAAACTCAAAGAAAGCCACAGGAATGGAATACAGAGTAAGACAGACAAACATTCAAGAAAAAAAATAGGGTAAGGGAGAATTCATTTAGCAAGTAAAACATAAAAAGGAAAAAAAAAACCATCCAAAAATGGGAAACTTAACATATTTTGGACTTTAATTTCACTGTTTCTTCAAATCATTGGCTGAGTATTCTAGTCAATGTGTAGCAGCTGAAGAAACATTTGATTGGTAAAAGGTGGGACAGACATCACCTTTCTGGGATTATGTTACACTACCAAGGCTGATGTGTAGTGTAACAGAGAGAAACTTGACCTGGCTTTAAAGTGGCCAGGTCAGGTCCCACTCACAATGTGGCCATGGCAGCACAGAGCTTGGCACAAGCTGTGAAGATGGACTTATGCAGTAGAGCAAGAACTCTGTCACTTAAACCCTACTGCTGACACTGCACTGCCAGCAGGAGCTTGAAGTGACTCAATCTGACTTCAAAGACAACTACCCTGCAGTTGCAGTTCAGATTCCATCCTGAATAACCAGCAAGCCTCAGCTGGAATGATACAAATATCCTGATTGCCAAGAAACTCCCAGGCATTTATCTGCTGCACTTACATACATGTACAAACCTTAATCACAATTCACAAGAACAAACAGATGCGACCTGATATGAAAATGTTCAAATCAGAATGATTGTTCTTGAACTGTGTAAAAGTGGAACATTCCCGGAATGCTTTCAAAGAGCAATAATAGTCATAAAAGAAACTAAATTGCTGGTAATATATTTGTGAAAGAGATTATATAACATAATATAGGCAATAACAAAGAAATAAACTTTTCTTAGGAATTTCTTCTTCACCCCATACTCATAAATTTTAAATTTCTTTGAGTAAGCTTCACTCTCCTCTAAGAAAGCCTTTGAAGTAAAAAAGGCTAGCATCCAGTCTTGAGGAATGTGTGCTATTATTCCTTATTTTCCTCCACAATTCCAAAATAAAGGTGTTCTTATCCCATCTCCTACCTGTCTCCGTAAGCTTGAGGACGGCACTGGCGCATTCTCTTCGAACTTGGCCAGTAGTTGGGTTGCCATAGACTTGACTTTGTTCTGATTCCCAATGGCAGCATCAATCCTCCTCTCTGTCAGGGCGCTCACCAGTGTGGGCCTTTCTTCTCTGTAGCTCCGTGGGAGGTCCTCCTAAAAAGCAGTGACATCAAAATTCAACAAGATACAACGAGATCACCTTTTCCCCTCTACCTCTTTGTTGTGAAGGGTTTCTAACACTGTAGATAACAAGTCTGATAGCCTGCACTTGCAAGCTCACATTTTAATTTCCTTTGGCATGTCATCAAATGTTCTGTTAAACTTTACTTATCTTTTCAACCACATGTGATGCACTTACCTACCAAAGAGGCTACAGCTGAAACACCCCTGTGAATCCCATGACATAAAACAAAGGCCTGTCTTCAAACCTTCTCACAATGAAGTCAAAGCACTGAATTTTAACTCACCTGTACCTATTTGGCTACAAATATTTAATCTGAAAGCCTGCCTTATGGGGCCTACTGGAAAGGTTAGTGCTTTTTGCACTAACCAAGGCTAAAGTTTAAATGTCCATGAAACTTCTAACAATAAGGCATTATTTAACTAAAGTTTTATTCTTGATGTCCTCATCAAACCACAGCAAATTGCTATTAAAATAGAACATCAGGGAACTGCAATATTTCATTTGCTGTGTACTACTCTTTCATAAGCATCAGTAAAATATTTGTGCTAAAGATATGACAAAGCATAATCTTTGAAGAAGAATTAATTCTTGTCTAAAAAACCTTACATAAATCCAGTCTGGATACAAGGAATGAAAGAAGTGGGAATAAGGTACCTACCATGTATTTTCCTCCCTGACACCTTCCTTACTGTAATACTTACATCCTCAGATTGGCTGGTTTTTCTCCTCTTTCCTGCACCATCCAGTTCTTTTTCTTTCTTGTCCTGGAAACAGAAGGAGTAAAGGAAAAAAAAGCAAAGATAGGGACTCTCATATCTTTCTGGGCTGAGATAAATATCATCAGTGCACTTAAGTTACCTTGAAAAGCTTATTTAATTCTCTGGGCTCACTGTCCATTTGGTCAGGAAAAGGGGTATTTTTCCTACATATTCCTTAGGGGATTCTTACCTTTGAACTGGACATTCAACAACACTTTCAACTCATTGGAAACTCAGCAAACAGTTATGATTCAACACAAAATACATCCCCAAATCTTAGCCACAAGGCTAAGATTTTAAGAGTGAAATATACCACTAATTGAGAGTATATATTACGGACTTAATTTAAAAATGTCATGTATTGTCCCATACCAAGAGCTGGTAAACACGTGGCCTCTTGCAAACACACAGCAGATGCACACTTACACCTGCATTTTCAGTACCACTACTTGGACAGGAGCCTGACAGACACAAGTGTTCCCAAGGCTGTCCATGGTTACCTTGGGAGTGCGTTTCCGAGAGATGCTCTGTCCCAGTTTGCTGAGGAAGGAGATGGGTGACTTGGTACTGGCAATTAGGGCAGCTTTTTCTTCTGCATTCAGGTCCAGACTATCTGTTAGGAAAAACAGGTAGAACAAGGGAATGCCAAAAAGTTTTCTTCTGTGGTGCTGTTATTAAATACACAACTGAAGGACTCACTGATTTTTTTTTTTTAACATAACAGTCTTTTCCTTAAATTCTCTGTACAAAATGACTATAATGTCTAAAATTAATACCTTTCTCAGCTACTCTTCCTTTTCATTTTGCCCATATGAATTCTCCTTTAAGGGTTTATAACCATCCAGAATAAATGCTGTGTTTATTTACTTTTATATTTAAAAAGCACCAAGATCATCAGTATTCTTAAAGAGTGCAGAGTTTTAGAAATAATACCCGACATATTTTTAAAAGGCTACTAAAACCACTCTTTTTCCCCCAACCAGAATAAAATACTTGAATCATCAGTTATAAAGAAAGATCTATAACAACATTATTCATATTGAAAGGTTGGCCCTATAGATTTGGGTTAGGCAATTACATCTTTCAGTTCTAATCAAAGGTATTTTATTCCTCTTGGCCTGAAGTTAGTCTCAGCATTCACGGATTGTAAATAGGTATAATACTCAGTCAGTGTTTTGAAATTACCAACTAAACCACTACTAGCAAGGCATCTCACATTACCTAAGAATGTAAGAATGCAGAATACTTATCTAGTAGTGCTGAAGGGAGTTTAGAACTTTTGAGGACATTGCTGTGTATTAAATCCTTTTTCTGCTCCCAGTGTTGCTGAAATGGTCTTTATCAGCACCAATAAGAAGGCAACTTTTTGTAGAGCTAGTGAGTGACCAGTATGAGCTTGTGCAGCAGCAGCATGAAGGGAACTGAAACCCACACATTCACCCTGAAGCTTTCTTTAAATCTGACAGAAGTGCCCCAAACTCCTTACCACTAGAGGGGATGGTGTCTTTGAACATCTCATAGAACTGTGTGAGGTACATCACCATGGACAGCTTATCTGGCTCTCCAACAGATGCCATTTCCTTTCCAGTCATAATGGGAGATATTCCAAACTCTTTTTCAGCGATGTCGAAGGCCAGTTGGTTATTCTTCTCCACATCATGCTCATCCAAAGAATCAAAGTCTCTGCAAAGGGCAGAAAGAGGCCATGCACTGAATCAAGTAGAAAACAGTCTTCTGAAAGAACTCAGGGATCCATCTCTTCTTTTTTTCTCTCTCTCATCGAAATATCTCAAATTTATTTGCCAGCAACATGGTAAAGTTCATGCTACTTAATTACAGTGAACTTTAGCTCAAACATATCCTTTTTTCATTTTTTTTTCTCCTCCTACAAACCCAGATTTTTTCTTGTTATGAAGTATTATCCTCTGAAACACACCTTCACTTCCTCCATTGCTGGAAGACTGTACTATTTTCCCCTACATAAATTCTTCTGTGTGCTTGGGACTAAATTAAGTCTTCATTTTTTGTCCCTTTTTTCCCCCTTGACTGATCCATATCTTAGTCCTTCTGGTTTTTACCAAAACTTGTAGAACTATATAAAGTCTATATAAAAAGCTATAGCTTGTAGAGAATTACATAAACCATTTTAAAAGCTATTTGAACTCTCCACAAACCATAGGGCTATTAAACAGAGTACCTCAGGTTAACTCAAGTACACCAACACAGAACTAATTCAGTGAACATGGAAGGGAATAACCACACAATTTTTCAGCATGCTTTACATTGGATTGTGTCTTTAAATAGAGCTCTAGCATTTACTTTCTCTAATGTCCCTTTGGGAAGTTGAACACATTTCAGATTTCAATTTAAGTACCAGAATCTTCGCTACTGTTACTTATTCCAGCCAGTGTTTTCCCATTTTAGAATCTGGGCACTGTTTTACCCAATATGTCATGTAAGGGGACACCTCTCTCATTCACCCAAGCCACATGTCAGTGTACAAAGAGTAACAACACCTCTATTTACACTGTGGGTCACTACTTGCAAAAAGAGCAGCCTAAAAAGTCTTTTTGAGTTATCGTTAAACAGGAAGTTTACAAAGTTCTGTGTAGATACTTGTTCATGAGAAATTTAATGAATCTTTGAACTATTCCTCACTCACTTCACACACACACAAAAAAAAAAAAATCTGTCAGTCAATAATGCCTCCCAGTCAGTATCAATTTGAAGCTCAGTTCTGCCAAATCATCCAGAAGGGAAAATGACAACACATTTATCTTCAAATTCATCAAGCTATCACAACCTTCCACTCTGCTAGTGAATCACTGTACATTAGTTTCTATCAAGTTTAATTGAATTCATTTCAATCCATTTCTTCATAAGTCACAAATGCATTGCCTCAATCTCCACATTATTAGTTCCAAACACCACTAATGTTCTGCCCTTCCCAGTTATTCGAAGCAGCCAATTACTCACATTAAGTCTGGACGGTATCTGTGGATAATGGCACACAAAGCTAAGCCACTTTTCCATGACATTGTGAGATCTGTCACATTAACACCAGCATATCCATCGGTCTGCCTCTGGCACCAACTGAGCAATTTACTGGAGCGAGCTACAGACTCTGTAAAAAGAAAAAAACAAAATCACATTTTAAAATAGAAATGCACAACATTTCACAAATTCAAAATATGCATAAAACCCACGAGTCAACAAGGAAAACCTTAATGTAAAAAACAAGCTCCTTCTACAATGGGTAATGGAGGACAGGATTCTCATTTAAAAAAAAATAATACTATCGTATCTATTTTAAATCCAAGAAAGTATTTTTCATTTGCTAAAAAGCAATTATCTAAGTTGTAACTTGCCAGACTTTTCACCCTACCCATTGTAAAAGAGCCCCAGGAAATATAAAACAGCTGCAAAGGCTTGTTAAGTATGATCAAAAGGACATACAGTAGCACAATGCTCCCTAAAGCCCAGATATACTATTTCTAGTGAAAGAACTACAAATGTACTTCTGTAACTTCTTTTCCCTTGAAAACTTTCCTTTAGAAGCGCTGACCTGTTTTGACCTTGTCTTACAGCAAGATCTGATGAGATTACAGCCTAAAGGGACGTGGCTGCAGGGCAAAGAGCAGAAGACTACACAGCTATTCAGCAGTGAAAGGGAAGCTTAGCAGCAAAGAGCCACTCAGTGTCCCTGAACACTGTCTGGGCATCCAAGACAAGGCATGCAAAAGGAAAAGTTTGACATACCCCTCAGGGTAGAGACAAGTAGACAGATACTGAAATGCTTATCACAAGGCTTTCAGAATAATGCAAGCAAAGTGAGATGAAGAAAAGGAAGGCACAAATGTGAAAGTCTGCACAAGAAGTACATTCTGTTACGTTTGTAAGAATTCTGAGTCTACTGTTAAGAGAGATTCAGTCTAGGCTTCTGCACTCTAAGCAAGGACATTGTTATAGATAAAGGAGGTGAAAAGAAATGCCTGTATAAGCAAATATGCTTAGAAATTTAACAGTATTATAAAGTAAGGGAAATTAGGTAAATAAAAATATATTTACATGCTAATGAAAACTTGAAAAACTGGAAACTCAGACTGTTGACAAAACAACTGCTGGATACATTTTCCAAATCAAGAGACTGATTAAATTATACTCTACAGCTATGCTGTTCTATAGTTCCTGCACTGACCCAGCTCCAGAAAACCAACAGGAATAGAACAGCAGCCAGGCCTACCATTTCGAGTCAGCTTTGGTGTCCTGGAGTTCACAAAGTTCTCTATTTCCAGGTGAATGTCTTTCAAGTCTCCTGTATTATACAAGTGCCGTACCTAAAATGACACAGAGGTTTCAAATGACCAACACACCATGCACCCCAGATCCATACAGAAACAGGTGGAGGACAATAAGGAGCCAACACAGGAAGGAAAACAAGTACACTTATGCAGCAGAAGGCAGAAGTTCAAGGATCAGGTCATCAGTGCTGAACAGTCCAGCTGACTGCTGCTACTCAGTGGATACCAAATTGCAATGACAGACTGCTAGACTAGTTTATTACAAAGAAAATGCACATGCACACACACACACAGACACAAATTTATAGATTTCCTGTATCATTACAGCACGGTTACAACTATCGAAATAAATTCCTAAAAAGGAATTTGTTAAAGTACAGAGGTCTATTGCTTCCACGTTATACACACATCAGGTCACTATCTGTCCCCAAAACACTATCACAGCTTCCCCTGAGGAAAGCCAAGGCACACTACAAGCACTCAGAAGCACCATTTGAGCAGTTACCTGCTGTGGCCGCAGGAAGTTGACGTTGATGTTGGGATACCGGGTGGCAGGATCGATGCTGTAATGGCTGAAGTTTTTACTCACGTTCTCAGGGGTGGTCTGAGGCAGCAGCCTATAAATGCTTTCCCTTGGGAAAATAACATAAAAAAAAAAAAAAAAAAAAAAAAGAAGTCTGGGGTTTTGTTTTGGTTGGTTTGTTTGTTTTAAGTCTTGTGGTGGTTTTGGTTTTTTTGTGTTTGTTTTGGTTGGGTTTGTGTTTTGGGTTTTTTTTTGTTTTCTTGTTTGGTTTTTTTAAAGAGATGCATCACTGCTACTACAGCTAAGTAAACTCTGAAGAGATAAACATTCAAATTAAAAATCTAACCACTTCAGACACTGCATAGCTAAGAGTCAGGATAAGCATATTAAAATCTGCAATTTAATAGAGCTCCAGAAAACAAAAGGAGGGAAGAAACAATGCACTAAGCATAACTGAAAAGGTTTCCCAGTACAATAAAGACATTGAGATGCCGGAGGGGTTCAGGAAGAGGGCTACCAAGGGGACTGAAGCACTTGCCCTGTGAGGAGAGGCCAAGGGAACTGAGTTTGTTCAGCATGTAGAAGAGAAGGCTCAGGGAAGACCTTACTGCTGTCTGCAAATGGCTAATGGGAGGGTGATGGAAGCCTGGCTCCAAACAGCAACATTATTATCCTCATCATTTTTTTAAAAATTCAAATGAACAGAATTTTATGTATGCATTGTGCTATTGAGCTGCAGTTGCTTAAGTCTACTCCACCTTTTAATTTCCTGAGTTCTGATCTCTAAGAGATCACCTTGAGTCACCGAGACAACATTCAGACAAATGATAAAAATATCAAGAACTCAATACTTCAAAGAAACACAAGATGTTGTTTGGCTTATATGAAACAAAGTGGCCAGTTTAGGAGAACATGAAAAAAAGCAGGTCATAGCTTCCTTAAAAGGAAATACTAAAGAATATTCACAAGATAACAGGGGATGCCAAGAAGTTCTGTATCTGGTACTTTAAAGTCACCTACATCTTCATCTGGTTTGCTGTTGCAGGGCTGGTGACAGTAAGTTGGGCTCACTTTCTCTATGCAATGTCAATAAGCACCAAGAAAAGATTCCTCATCTAATCTTTTAAAACTAGGACCAAGAATAGATGCAACATTTCTTATTTCTATATATGTTAGTTTATTACCTTCCTAGGAAATCTTTTTCTTCAGTTATACCCTCAAGTATCCTCTAAAAACAGAGTCTGTACCTCCCATTCTGTCTATATACTTGTACTAGAAGAAACTGGAATGAATGATGAGACACTGGAGGATTAGATTAGAACTGTAAGTATTCATTTTCTCTCTTACCTCTCCGCGAGAACTTCCAAAGGACTCGCTCCGAGCGACCAACTTCGTACCATCCAAGCAGAGTCCATTGCAGCCAAAAACCCCCTGGCTATTCCAGTTCCCATTGGCCAAAATGGCTAATATAGTTTACAAAAGAAAGAAAAGAAAAAGGCAGAGAAAGGAAAAGCATCAGTTAGGGAAAATTTTAAAGAAGTATCAAGTATGTATTCAGACAGTAATCTGCTGGGAAATTAGAGTTCAGTAATTAGCTTAAAGCTCCACTCCTCCTGGGTTAGTGGAAATCAGATGTATAGTGCATAGCTCATGAGCTCTCCCAAAGCCAATGTCCTTCTATTTCCAACAATTCCTAGCCTGGAATGCCTTAACAGCTTCTCTTGAAGACTGTACTTTTTAACTAACTACAAAATGCTAATTATTAGCAGGACTACAGTAGGTTCTGTAGAGTCAACTCGTCCCAACAAGAAGCAGATGGAACAGACACAACTTCAGAAAAAGCCCTGCACACATTTTCTTAAGCAAGATCATTACCACGCTAAATATTCCGTTTTCCCAACACTCCTACCCTTCCTTCAAACCTCCCACTTCATTCTATAATAAACAGCAGCTTTCCTTACAGTGACACTCTCACAGGCAGCACGTTTTTCAGTGACGGCCTGTGCCTGTGCTTCCATTCAGTGTTTGCCCAGAGCGAGGTTAGAACACAAACCTCCAAGAGACTGTCCCCCACCAGCGCCACGAGCAGCTGGTGGCCGTTCTGCTCGCGCACCAGGGCGGCGTTCTCGGACGCGTACATGCACGTGAAGTCAAACATGGCCACGTCTGGCTGCCCGTAGTGATTGATGGCGAAGTCCAGCGATGGCAGCTGCTGATTAGTGGAGAAGTCAGCTGCCTCCCTGGCGTAGTTCAGCAGAGCCTCCTGGTCCACGTTTTCCCGTGAGAGCAGTACCTCTGTGTCAGCGTGATCCTGCCAAAACCAGAAAAGTTAAAAGTGCAGTGGTCAAATCCACAGGTTTATTTTAAGATTGGTACATAAGGTAGTTGGCATTAAAATTCTGACAAACTCACTGATACGGATCTGCCCTCTGATTTCTTTCATTCCTATCTGTGTTTATGCTTCCCAGAGAAAATCTATAAATCTTTTATTGCAAATAGTGATCAGTCCTGCTTGTATTTCTAACTGTGAAAGGGCTAAGAAACTTCTGAGCATTTTTCATTCCCATAAAATGAAGGAAGCTCAACTAAGCTATCAAACGTTCTTTCAGCATATTTTATCTTAGCATGAACAAAACTCCCAAATCTGCAAAGGGATACAAATTTGGAAAGGACAGGCTTTGTAACACTCTTCTGATAGCTTACAATACTTGCGAAGGGCATTAACTGCCCTTTAGAACACAATTGCATTTGTGTTCTAAAATACTGTATAAATACTGTATAAAAACATTACATGGTGGAAGAAAAGCATGTTTCCCTTTTTTCACCATATCACATGAAAATTGTCACCAAAATTTTAACTTATAGAGAATACAGGAGAAGTTAATACCCACATGCCGTATCACCCCTTTTTCCAGCAAGCTCTGTTTTTTGGCAGTCATGACAAAGTAGTGTGTATCATCTTTGTAGTAGACAATGTTCTCCAAGTCAATGCCTTGTGACAGAACAAAAGAAATGGTAGTGAAGGAACAAATTATGAGTTATGGGCAACACTAGAGCTCTATCAGAAGGAAGTAAATTGAAACTGCACGGTTAGAAAGCCTCAGAGAGAGAATGCCAAATAACTTTCTCAAATGCTTTTGATGACTTTAAAAAACTGAATCTTCAACAAAACCACAAACAGCACATTTCACCTGCATAAAGCTACCTCTTCTAAAAAACACATTTATCATCACTAACGTTTGCATTCAGATGTGGAATCCAAAAAGCTGAACTCAGGATTCAGTCTCTTCCCATTTAGAGCTCAGGTTTCCTGAAAACAATAAGTTCTCCACTTCTGAACAAAAATGACACACATCTGCTTTGCACAGCAGAACAGCTGTAAAAATAGGGAAGTCAGAGACAGCAATGACTGACTTCCTTGCATATTGATTAAACATGATATCTGAGTTACAAAGTTTTATTAATAAAGACAAATCGTTTTCACTGGCAATCTGTCAGCTGCTGGCAAACCTGTGGCTTCTCGTAGATCTTGGAAGAACTTCTGGTTGAATATGAAGGCCACACCGCTGATCTCTTCTACTTTGGCTTCAGCTGTGGTGTTGCGATTGATGAAGTTTGCTGTGATAGCAATCGCGAGTTTACCGCGGAATTCTTTTCGGCGAAACCCTGGGGGAAGGATAAAGTAGCACTGAAAAACAGAGCACACCTTCAGAGAGGGCTCAGTGTGCCACAGACAGGTGCCCTCACAAAATAAAAAGAGGAGAAGTGATCTGATGAATTACAAACTCCAACAATCGCTTCATCAGAAAAATAAACGCTCTGTTCAGGGAAAAAGCCCCCTCCCTCATATCTCTTCTCAAAACTGCCATTTGCATAAAAATATTAATATCGGATTCTTTACTACAAAGAGTAATTAAACACCTCAGTTCTTACACCCAAAAGAGCTACAACACTAATCAACTAAAGAAAAAAAATGTAAGAAAGGTTATCCAGATCAAAAAACCTAATTCCTTTCCTAGTGTATAGGAAGAGGAAAAAAGACAACCCAGGTGTCTTTGATACAAATGGATTTTTACATGAACTTTTAATCTCCCTTTCACTAGTCAAGTGTCCTTCCAGATGTTGATTGGCATGTTAAAGGCATATTTTGTTCTAACAAATTTAAGAGTAAGTTCTATTTGAAAGCTAATTATGGAGCCAATATTACCTTCTAAGGTGTTCCTCCTGCCATCCCCTCCAATGATTACTTCAAACTCATACTCAGACACGGGATGGGTTTTGGGGTGGACCAATGCACGCCAACCTATTCCTGTTGATAAACTCCAAGTTAATGGCAACATAAACAGCAATGGTAATAGAACAAATACATAAAACCACTTCTTATTATCCATAATCCCTTCATCATATGGTCGCTCAAGAAACCCTGTAGGACAGCTGCATTGTTGACAGGGCTATTCCTGAGCTGTGCAGCCACTCCATGTGAACCAGAGGCAGACACAGCTCTGGTAAAACTCCCCTGACTATTTCCTTTAAGGGCCACTGAACCTTTATAGCTCCTTTACTACCTATGCAATCGATAAAAAGCTGAAAAATAAGTAAGCCACCATCTCCTGTGGTGATCAGAGAAGAGGGTTCACAATGATACTAAAAGCATAACAAGGATCATTCACTGTTATAAACATCCTCAGTGAATGCAAAGAAAGGAGTTGTTTCAAAATGTTATTTTGTAAGTCTAATAGGCTTAAATATTTTTAGAATTACAATCTACCATGTCTTGGTCTATTTACTATCGTGTAGTACTTCCGGTGACTTTGTTTCATATATTAAGTAATTTGGATTTGTCACTAGAAAAAAAATAAATCCTACTAAAAATCCAAGCAAAAAGGGATTAATAATTATTCTTATTAATGGAGCACGAGGAAAGGACTTAAGGTCATAAGCAGGGTTAAGGAGTAGGAGTCTGTGTATCCTACCACAACTTTCCCATTCTCTACCACCCATTCCAATGCTACTTGCTTTCATTCTCCTGATCCTCTGGAGGGTAAACAAGCCCCCGAAATTCCACATTGACATGGATCTCTATTCCCAAGATCAAGGCAACCTTCAAAAGGATAAGCTGGAGCTGACGGATACCTGCAAAAAAGCAAACATTAAAGAAATCAAAGAAAAAGAAAAGAGCACAAGATGCCTATGTGTGTCTGTGTGACATAACTAATAAACTGATTCAAAGGACAGCTGCTGTTTTCTTTTCCCCCACTGTGTTCCCAGCACTTCTCAGCACCAGTGTGGAATATAATACAACATGCCAAGAAACTTCTACATAGTTGAAACCCAATCCTTTTCAAAGAATGACAGAAAAGTAAGTATTTTTTTGGATGTTTCAGTCCCCAAATCAGCAACAGGGGAAACAATCTGCAGGAGAGAGAGGGAAGACAGCACAAGCAGGACTGCACTTGTCACAGATGGCAACGAGCCATGTGATCAGCCTGGCTGTGATACCAACCTGCACCTTCATCCCAACACCTTGAGGGCATATTAAGTTTCTCACCACCTCTTTCCTCTTCCTTTTACATAGGTAGTGGGTATGAAAATGACAGTGTGCAACCTCTGTTAATTAGAAGGAAGACACCTTACTGTCATATTTCAGACACTGAAATGAAAAAAATCCTCCACCTAAACACTAAATTTCAGCTGTGCTGATGCACAAAAGAAGACAGCATGCAATAAGTACTGAAAGAATAAAAGTAACAAGAAATTGGAAGAAAAAAGCAATCTGCAAGACTGAAGTTCTGAAGATCTTTCAGTTTTAGCATTCACTGCCAAATTAAAAAAAAAAAAGTGGAGAACAAAGACTGGTGGGCAAAACCTGGCTCTGCCATGTACAATAACTTTCAGGGAGAAAAAGGAAAAACAAAAGAATTTAAAGAAAAATATTAATTCCTGCTCTACCAAAGCATTCAGCTTTCAAAGGAGACTGATTTCTCAGAATCTGAGAATCATCAAAATTATTCTGAATTTTAACATGTAAACCTCTATTTAATCAGAACTTATTCATAGGCTGGCAGTGTTCTTTAACATATCTTCATCACTTCCAAAAATCAACAAAGCCCAAACTGTTCCTCCTTTATCTAGATCGACATTCACAAGGATGTTCAAAAGCATTCACTAATTTTCCTTTTTACAAGTCCCTTACAACGTGCAAGGGAGACAGAATAATGTGGCAGCTGCAGGAATGTATCAGAAAAACAGAAAAATTATCCATCAAAAATGAAAAAAAAATGTTTAAACCTTCTGTGTACTTTTCAACGTAGGAAGAAGACACGCCTTGGGAATGCACAAACGATGATAGATACATTTTGCCTGTGTGTTGATCTCATGACAACGTACTTCTTTCATATCTGGGTCTAGCCCAAAATGCACGATGCAAAGGTAATGCTGAATTGTACCATAAGGACTTGAAAGCAGTGGTTGGGGTAGACTGAATTTTAATTACCCCATGCCCTCAGCTACTTTTCCCCAGTGCAGAGTAAGTGCTGTTGTGTCCAGCAGCTGCTGTACTTACTGATGTGGTCTATGGATCCCGCACAGAATTTGCCGTAGAACTTTTTGGCGCCGAGACCCCTCAGGTCGTGAATGGTGAATGGCCACAAGTGCAGCACGTTATTGCGGGAAAAGGCATCCCTCTTTTCTATGACCACCACCTTGGCTCCCAGAAATGACAGGTCGATGGCTGTACGAAGGCCACAGGGTCCAGCCCCAATTATCAGACACTGCAAAACAACCAGCACTGAGTAACTTTACAGTCCTAGGAGGAAATAGGTATTTTTACCACAGCTTCCAAGCATCCCACGGCTCTTAGGAGCAAGTGCTCTTTGTCTGCAATATCAGCTGAAATTTCAGATCAGTCTTTCTGTTGTTACCTGCCAAGTTCTGCCACTGATACGGTTAAAGCAGTAACCGCAACCTAAAAATAAAGCACATTCCAGAGCAGAGAAAAGCCTTGGGAAGCAGGCAAGTAAACTGCCTGCGTGTAACCCTTGTTCTAAGAAGGGCTGCCAAGGTGTACTCTCCAAGCTACGTAAGTACTTGGAGACCAGCAATATGTCTAATGGCTTCTCCCTCCTCCCTTCCATAACTTTTTATTTTTGTCTTAAAAAAAAAAAAAAAAAAAAAAAGGCAATGACAAGTTTTCTTTTCATCTTCCAAAGCCTGAGCTGGCCTTTCTTAAGAATATCTTCAGTAGCATAAACACATGCAGATAAACACATGAGATGCTAATGCTTCTATAAACATCATCATTTAGAGTAAGACAGACAGTAGCTAAGCTAGAGCACTAACTCATCCCTGTGTTGGTGCTCCTACTACTGCAGCAAAGGAAACTTCAGGGAAGTAAACACAGTGCAAATACAAACTTTGTGTGACTGCACAACTTTTATCAAAATATGTTTTTCTCCAATCCAACCTTTGTCATACAAAAGGTCTTTCACCTTCTCATATCTTTCTCCGCTCCACTCACAAACATTATCAGACACTAATAAATAACTTGAGAATGAAAATACATGCAGTCTAGTGTTGACTTTCTACTTTCTGAGACATGACAGAGCAAAATTTCTTTTAAGATTAAAAAGCCAAGATAGTCAGCTGATAATTCTTACCCACAGAAACCGAGGTCCATGGAGAAAGCTGGTGTTGGTATGTGATTTCTCATAAATACAGTACACAGTCCATTTTGTCCTATCGTTATTGCACTTTGATTTCTACCGAGTACAAACCACATCCACAGAAAAAAGACCAGTCACAGGGGTGACTGCTGCTGCCATGTGATTATTTTCCAGATCCTTACATATCCTTATGGTTGGACAGAAAAGTTCCTTAAGAAATTCTTAAGTATGCCAAAACTTAACCAGAAACCAATGTTCTGATAAACAGCCTATCCCAAACCAAAACTGTGTTTGTTGGTCATCCCCACATGACAATTTTTACAGGCTGCCACATTCTCACCACTCATTCACCAGGCCATAAATTCTGCAATAATGTGAAACTGCAAATATAAAGCCTGAATGAGGAAAAACCAAGTACAAGTTACATCAGTGATGATACAACAACTGACATGCAAATTCAAAGTAAGACTGTGTAAGATAAGAAGTCACATAAATTTTAGGGCAGAGATCCAAGTCCAGAAGAAAGGGAAGGGAATAATAACACCATTGCTTCTTTAGTAGCTTCAGGAATCTGGAGGCATTTGGGACAAAAGGCAAGTGCAACCCCTGCACTAATAAATTCCTAAGTAGACTTGGATATTGAACAGATGTCAGTCTTGTAACTTGTTAAAAGGGATATTCAATTAGGACCTAATATGTTCTTCAATTTGATATTATTTTATTTGTAGATAAGTAACTCTTGAACAGCATTTAGCCTATATTTTTTTAAACTTCTAAGAAAATCAGCTGAGTGTATCATTTTATCCAGGTAATAACTGTGCTTGTCTGACAACTATGAACTTCAAAGAGCCTGGATTCAATAAGCAACAAGAGCACACTGAGTTGGGTGGCTTTTCTTCTTGAATAATTTTCCACATACAAAATAGCTACAATGGAGTACACAACAGCAAAGGAATTGTACTAAAACGAGACTATTCAAACTCAGGTCTACATAATCAAATTATAAACTAATTGTCTGCAATTTTGTCACAGAAACATTTTTTTTGTTGTTGTTCTTTGTAATCGTCCCTCTACCCCAACAGAAGGATGTGGTTAATGACATCTAGGTTATGTTTAAGATTCTAGATGTTATGAAAGTAAAATATATGATAATCAGTGAAGTAATTCATGGTCAAAGTTGCCTTTTTTTCTTTAACCATCACAAAAACATTAAATTATGTTGTTATAAAACATAACAAGTTTTAAGCACAATTAAAAATAGAAGAAAAGATTCTTTTCCACCTCTAATGCTTCTTCCAGTTTCAGATCTCTTGTAGAGCCCCACCTTCTGATACTGTCAGACCGCAGTAACTACATGAGATGCCAAGTACAGCCAAATATAGGCAGCTACTGTTGTTCCTTCTTCCCTTTCCCCTCAATGACTCCAAGCAATTGCTGTAACTCCCTGCTCTGGAGCTGTCTCACCCCTCAGAAACACTTCTTGCTCAAGATCTTTCAGACAGATTATATTAAGTTTCCAGTAACAATGCCATGGTAATGGAACATTAAAGGCAAACTGAAATGCTGTATTCTCTGTATAACCAATGAAGAGAGAGCACCATTTGTAACTATTTACATTTGAACAACCCATCATGTCCAAGACTTGCTTTCACATACTCTGATTATCTGAATTCTGGTAAGCCTGGACGTTGGTCATGTGCACAAACTGCCCAACTCCAGGCACAGCACCTCATCCCTGACCAATTTTTAAATGGGAAATTAAGAGCTACACTGCAGAGGATGAGAAATCAGAACTGGTGTATGTTCCAAGTGTACAACAGCCAAACTGTTGTAATGACTGACTTCTGTTCTGATAACATGGGTAATACCTAATCTTTATTTTAAATTCTATCATCTCTACATGCCCACTTAAATTGCTGTATCTTTTAATCAGTGGTTTGCAAATTACATTAAACTTAGGAATATAAAACTAAATGAGTTAGGAAACATCAAATCAGATATGATTCAGTTCTCAGAAGGCCTCTGCTTGGAGCAGTTATGATTCTCTCTTAGGAATTACATATAAATATTTAACAGCAGATACTATTAAGATAGGAAACAAGCAATTAATAGAAACATATACAAAAAATATAAAAAGAATACATCCAAGTTTTTTAAACTAAATTTCACTTTCTCTCAGCTACCAGTTTAACTACTCAAAATGGTGTGAATCCCAAATCCAGTCCTCTATGTTTCTGATTAGGGGCAAAGGGGTGTGCCAGCTTTAATTTATTAAAGACAGTTGGCTACATAATTTTTTCAAAGCACATCCTTGTCAGATTTTTTTTTAAGGCTCAGTACTCCTCTGCATCTTCAGATATTCTTTCACAGCACAATCTGAAGGACTTCCTTCATTTCTCTCACTACCACCTTCCCATGGAGCTTCACCTGTTGTCTCTTGTATGATCCTCCCTCTACAAATTGCCTTTGCATCACCTCATTCACAGACACTGCTCCAATCAGCTTGTCAGTGCTGTCAATTCACAGAACTTCTCCAGCTCAAGAGTTGGCTACTTTTTGTCCAAGCTAAAATCCTAACCTTTCTGACATTTCCTTATGGCTCCCTAGTTGTCAATTCAAACCCCAACACGACCAAATGGAGCTCTAATGTCCTTCTAAACTCAGTTCGCCACTTCTCTTCTCTATAAATGTCACATTCAATTTTCTGAATGCCCTTCATAGTTGGATGTCACCCTCCACTCACATCTATTTTTTGTATGCTGTCACAATCAAGCACTGTCCACCTATCCTTCCATTAAATCTCTTCTTCCACGTTGCATCTCTGTTATTGAAGCAACCATTTTCCTCAGTGTTAACAAACAGTACTGCAGACTAAGATATACTCATAGCACAGGTGCAAAAGTCATTCTTATAGCCTATTATTCAAACAAGTTAAAAGGCCTCTGCATCTTCCACAGCTCCCTCAATCTCTTTCTCATTAAAACATAAACCACCTGACCTCATTTCACAAACTTTTAGCACCTTAATTCAGTTCTACCCATCATGTTTCATTCCAAATAAGAGCAATTCCTGAATCCAATGAATGTACAGTGCAATCAATTATTCAGAAAAACAATTTGGAATTTTCTCTATAACATCCCATAGTGTTTGGAAGGTTTATTCCTAAGTATGCGCAAAATCCGCTACATTTATCTTGCTGTAATTCCTTCCTTTCTTATGCTGCCTGAAAAATGTAAACCTTAACAGTGGTTGTACTTTTGAGGTGTTGAAGCTACTGCCCACCATGACAGTGCCCAATTGTTCCATTTTCAGTTTACCAAGTTATTGTAGTAATGCATTATAAATGCCTCCCTTCATATGAAAATGGTCACTGAAAAGCAGAACAGAATAAACAATTAAGAAACTAACACAATTTTCTAATATCTAGTTGAGAATTAAACTTCAGAGATCTGAAATGACATACTCTAAACTAGATATATTTCCCCCTCTGTTCTCTACTAAGGAACTAGTCATTTACTCCTCCAATTAAAATATTTCCTTCTCTCAGAAGGTGAATATTCAAAAGAAGCAGCAGCATCTATTGTTCTCAATGAAGGACAGAATCCTGCTTAAATTTTATAGTGTTCAGTACTATTTGCCTCTTTTAAAAAAGGAAGAATGCTTGATTATTTACAAAAACAACATATTCTATTCACATTTTGATAAAGGATATAAAGAACTGCTTTCAGTAACCACAAAACAAATAAATAAGATCATATTGCACAGTCCAATCAGAGTGCAGCACATAAATGCCAGCTCACAATAATTCAGGTTGGAAAAAAAAAAAGGTAAAATGCTCTGTGTGTGTGTGTGTGTATGTAAAACAGGAATTCCTACAGTAAATACCACACATACCAACCTTTTAAAAGAAATTGGTATGAGTTTCCAGGGCATTTTTTTTTCTTCTTTGAATCTGGAATATAAATGATCATTTTCTAAATAACGGGAAACAGGATATTTTACCCAATTGGCAGGAAAGTTTATTTTTCTTCAGAGAGTCATGAGGTTTTTCAAATTAAAGCTGGAAATTTCCAAACATGCATATTTTGTACCTAGACTCCAACAGCACGTCCCTGTTACTGCCTAGTAAAAAAATGCAAAAAAAGTCTACCGAGATTAAAGGTTTACCAGTTAAGATTTCCTAAGCCATCTATAGTATTGATGCCACAAAAATGCACAACAGAGGAACCTGCAGGCTGCTTCTCCTGAATAATTGACAAATACTCATGTGGGCAATACCAATTAAGATTTCCTAAGCCATCTATAGTATTGATGCCACAAAAATGCACAACAGAGGAACCTGCAGGCTGCTTCTCCTGAATAATTGACAAATACTCATGTGGGCAATCAAATCTTGTAGTGGCAAATGGAATTTCTGATTGCTAGTCAAATGCTCACACCTTGTGGCTATATTATAAATACATGTATAAGAATATTCCTGAGTCTTCCCCAGCATTAGAGGGACACCAAGCAAACATATTTTTACATCCAGACACTGTTATTGTGTGTTCCAGAGACAAACAGGTAATAGTTGTTTTGGCCACAGTGAGGGTATCTCTTACCTTCGTGTTGGCGCACGCTTTCCCTTTCTTATAGTCCTTATGGCTGCCTCTTTTATCCAATTTGGCCCACAAGGCTTTGGCTTTCCAGTAATTGAGCTTGGATTTGAGTTTGTGATAGAAGGAACGATAGTCCTTCGGCTTTAGTTCTAAGTAGTCACAGAGCTCTTGGAAAGCCTTGAGAGTCCCCTTGCAGGTGGAAGCCTGGACAAATCTGTCGAAGAGAACATGAGCCTGGTTCACCTTCTCGTTTTTACTCTCCTCCATGCTTCACACGTGGCAGCTGCCCTGGGGGGCAGCTGTTCTCATCCAGTCTGCCAGACTTCCCAGTGTTGCTCTGCTGAGCCACTTTCACCTCTGGCTTACAAGCATTATCAACCTAAAAGATAAAAAGAAGAAAATGTAACTCAGCTTGCTCTTTCATTTTCTTTCCAAAATTTTGTCTAAGCCTGCTGAACTGAGAGCCCAGATTCTCAGTAATTACTAACGCATCAGTCCTAAGTAAGTCAACTGATTGATACCCCAAGGATTTCTGACCAAGCTCACTGAAGTAGAGCCTTCCAGAGCTCACTGAGCCTCACTGCAGACAGTGGCACATCTCACCTCTGTTAAATCACAAAATACTTTAACCTGAGCCAGTGCCTTGGAAGTTTCATCAAAACGCATTTCAAACGAACAGCAGAGAAATCACAAGTAAACTGGCAGATGTTACATGATGCCTGGAAGAGGCTGTGAAAACAAAAGATGCAGAGCTACTGATGTTGCAGTTACTGTGTAACAGCACAGGAATAGTTATGTGCTGGTCTTAAAGACACTGCTACCACAAAGTACTTCAAGAGTTGGTACTGCATCAGTAAGATAAGCTTTGGTTCTTTCATTCTAAAAAGACATGCTCATGATAAATAGAGAAGAGGAAAGAGGAGGGCATAGCACACAGTTTTGCAAAGACCAGGCTTTGTACAGTGATGGCTGCTGTGATCCTAAAAAGAAGTTAAACCTGCTAAAAGCAATCAATTGCTTAAGATGTCAAGACTGAAAAAAGAAAGCCTGTCTGTGTTGCATCAGGCACTGTAAACATTCCCCTTACCTAAGGCCTATGCACTTATTTCTGTCAGTAGGTGAGCAGCATAAGAGTGAAATGTGGCTGGTACATGACCCTTGTAAGATTCTCATACTAATTCCTCTATTCTGTGGGTTTCAACTTCTTTTGATATGCAGGCCCATACAAAATTTTAGGGGGTAGTTGTAGTCTAGTTTAATCTGCTGAGGCAGATTACACATGCTCCCATGAGCTCTGCTACTCTTAGTTGCCTTTCTGGGATCCCTCAGAAGCAGCCTGCAGACTTACAGAATTAATTGTTTGGCTCACAATTAGAGATTTTGTTTAAAGAATAGATATTTTCTCTTCTCCTCTCTCTTTCTTTTTTTATACAATAAACCTTTTTTTTCCTTTTATACATAATACTAAGTACATACATAGACTAGATTACCCTGCTCTCTAAGAAAGAATAGTTCTGTTTGCCTTCAGATAGGAAGGCAGCATAGGAACGTATGCAGGAACTATGGAAGTAAAAGCACTTCTGAGGTGCTTTTTGTCCTTTGGTTTTTTTGCAAAGGGTATTAAAGTAAAAAAGGAATTATGTGGACTCAAATAAAACTTTTTAGTTTCTCACCAGCTCTTTTCCTGCTTCCAACAGACAGGAAGCCAAGTCAAACATTACAGCTCATGTCTCTTCCCCTCCCGTATGACAGCTCTGCAGCAGTTTATTTGGGCACTCCTGCTTTTCAGCCTAACATGGTATTTATTGTTTATGTTCAGAAATAGCAAAGGAGACCTGAAAACCTTTACTTACAGACAGAAATTGATGTTTTTAAAAATAATATTTCCTAGAGAAGCCACAGTACAACAATGGGTTATACTGCAGAATGCGATTCTAACTTTATTGGGACAACTGTCTCAGAAGACTCAGTATACATGAAGCTGTTTTTCTAACTGTCTTATGGTGATGCCATGCCCATATCAGTACTGCTCACTAAGTTGGATGGAACTGCTTTCCTTATTTTTAATCTTAACTTCACTGTTGTGAAGCTGGAAACATGCTCCAGGCTTATGCCTCAGGGAAACCATTGCATTACTGCAGAGTCTAAGTCATAGAATCACAGCATGGTTTGGGTTGGAAGGGACCTTAAAGATCATCTAGTTCCAATTCCCTTGCCATGGGCAGGGACACCTTCCAATACATCAGGTTGCTCAGAGCCTGGTCTTGAACACTGCCAGGGATGGGGCATCCACTACTTCTATGGGCAACATGCTCCAATGCCTCAAAACCATCACAGGGGAGAATTTCTTCCCAGTATGCCATCTAAACCTGGCCTCTTACAGTTTGAAGCCTTCCCCCTTGTCTTATCACTACATGCCGTTGTAAAAAGTCCCTCTCCAGCTCTTGTGACCCTGTTACGTACTGAAAGCCTGTGTCTCCTCTTCTGTTATCAAGAAGAATATTATAATGAACTCCAACTAAACACCTCTAACACTGAAGGAATAGTTTCAGTGTGTCTGTGTAACATGAGCACAATAAAATACCAACAGCCTAAAGTCACATGCCTCATTAGTTAGCACAACCTCCCAAGCTGAATGCTATTCTCTTACATTCCCCCCACCTCTTGCACCCCACTCTACCACCCAAACACTCACTTTACGGCAGTGCTTTGGGTCACTGAGACTTCTTCAGAAAGAATAGTAGAAGTTACATGACCTAAATTAAGCAGAGTCACAACTTAGGTCTCTTGAGTCCACAGTCCACTACTGATATATCCAGAAGTAAGGACAGCATAGGAATCACTTCTTACTCTTCCTTCTCCTGTACCTTATTACCAGAGGAGTAAGGCAGCACTGGTTCTGCGCTGCTCAGGGAGATCCCAAAATTAAAACTCAAACTATTGTAATTCTAAGAACTTACTGCTTTGTGTTCAAGGTTGGCCAAGCCAGGAGACAAACCTGCAGACAGCAGGTCATTTCAGACAGCAAATCCCAAGTGACACGTTAGCACAGCAGCTCTGCTGACATCCCGTTCCACACAGGCTGGGAAGTCAGTTATGCCCACAGGTCAAACACCAAGGCTTCAGTCACCGCGGTAAGTCACTCCCTAGAACTCTGCATTCCTGATGTAAACACCCATAGGCCTTGGAACCTGCCAGCAACACGTCAGAGAACATGGAAATTACAGGAGGAAAGCAAGGGCAGGCAAGAATTATTTGCCAGGTTTCCAGGGTATTCGTACGCCTTGCCGGCTGTTCTGCAAGTCTGCAGTATCCTGCATGTTTTGTCTCGAGGTAGCTGATTGCTGACTCAGAAGCTCTGTGAATTCCTTGGCTGCAGTGTTGGGCGAGGAAGACAAAGCCCGTGGAAAAACGCATGCAAGAACAGCGTTCATGTTGCTATTTACAATAATAGCATGAGGTTGTCACTGACTCACGGCTGAAAGTACGCTCAGGATCTCCAGCACTCGCCCGGGACAAAACAAACCAATGAAAAACAGAGACGCAGGTAATGAATAATTCCAGGTGGTGGTTCCTCCCCACAGTCACCACGATGCAGGAATATGAATATTTTACCAAATGCATACACAGGAAAGAAAGCCCAGTGCCCTACTTCTGCTGAAAGATAAGAGAGAAGAGAGATTCTGCAGAAGCTACACATCATGAATTTGGTTGTACAAACTGAAGTTCTGCAGCAAGTGTTGCAAATGCAGGGCTCGCATGTTCCAGGCAAATAAACACACCCATTATAGGAGTCACCACCACCCCTTTTCCATCCTAATTTTGTTAGAAGTGCTTATTCAAACAGTGACTTGAGCCTGGAAAAAAATAAAGTATTATGGGAATGTATTTTTCAGCAGTCTTCTCCTGTTTTTTTTTTTCCTCCATCAGAAACTATTGAGTTAATTCAATCTACATTCACAGCTTGTTCTGTCTAGCCTAAAACAGGAGTGAATAAAACATTTGCCAAAGTAGCTGCCCAGCTGCACTTCAGAATGCTGAGTTTCTCTGAGTACAATGTAAATCCTTTCTTACATTTGGGTTATTTCACAGCCTGGCAAGCACCACAGATGCACCCTTGGCAGACACATCTCTGAGAAGTCAGAGATCAAGAAGGCGTAGTAGTACCATACAGAATCTGAAAGCGAGTTTGGTCCATCTATCATACTTAGAGCTCCAACAGCCCCAATTTCCATTGATTTCATCCTTTCCCTAAAACTCCCAGTTCCCCAGCAACATTCCCTATGCCCTTGTCTCCCTTTCATGGCCCCTCAGTTTCTGCCTAAGTGAGACTCAGTAACATGCTCTGGAGACTGGAGATTACTGCAGTACCCAGGAGGCCAGGACACACTTGCAACTTGGCTAGCAAAAGCCTAAGAACAGATTATTGTTAAGCTCATACTGCAGACAGTGGGGACACCTATTTTTGTCTCTCTCCTCCACCCAGCCTCCAGTTTTCTTGTTGGAAAGCAATTACCTTTGAGACTTTTATTCCTCATCAAATCTGGATGAAATTGTTCAAAAGTTATTAAGGATGAACTGAAAAGCAGATGGACAAACAGCTCAATCCTGTAAGCCTGCCTTCTTTAGGAAACAACACTAAAAAAATCTATTCCAGCAAATGAAAGAGCTCTGTTTTCATTTCCAAGATTTAATTTATTTTACTTTCAGCTAAAAGGAGTAGACTTTGCTACAATATGTTCCTGACTTTTTAAGTGATCACAGGTATCAAAAAGTGCAGCTTTAGGGCAGTGGTAAGACTGTGGAACAGATGGCAAAAAGAGGACAATTTTGACAAGAAAAGCTAAAGCCAAAACTGGCAACTATTTTAGCTCTATATTATGCAGACAGAGAATGGGAAAGCAGGAGGACAAAGGCCATGGTTGCCATTGTTTACAGCTTCCCTTTTACACCAGATGGAAAAGGGGCATGTCAGCACTGTCCACAGTATGCTTTAAGATGGTATTTGGATCTGCTCCTGTTCATAAAAATCAAGACTCAAGTAAATACGCTGTCAAAAAGATGTTTGTGTTTGAAAACATTTATCGAACCTAATTTGGTGGGCTTCTGCCCACCACATGGGAGTGAATCTTTTGGGTCTCCACCTTTCCTGTCCACCCTCTTTCCCAACCTAAGCCAGAAGCAGGAAAAGAGAAACCAAATATGAACTTGGATGAAACTACAAGAACATGTTCTTAGCACATACACAAATAGTTCATAGAATTCTCATGTCATGAAAAACTCAACCGAGTAATGATTTGAAAAGAAACGCAAATTATATCCAAGAACATGGAAACATACCAATACAGAAGTAGTTACTGAAAATATTTTGGTTCCCAA